GAGCAGCCTTCATCTTTTTCTTCCTCTTCCCTGGGGCCACGCTGATAGGTTCGGCATCCAGGGCCCGGGAAGTACTGGCTTCGGCGGCACCACGAAGGGGGAGCGCGGCAACTGTCACTTGTTGCCTCTCTTTTTCTTCCTCTTCCTCGGCGACCTGAAGGGCGAGGGCAAGCTCTTCATCCTCAGCAATCTGCTCGAAGTCTTCGGCCTCCGCTTCGGTCCGTAGTTCTTCTTGGACTTCTTCGGCTATCGCGGAATCGTTGCGCGTCGAGGGCTGATCGCTCGATGACTCCACGTCGGATACACTCTCGCTTTGCACCGACGGCTCCCTTGAGATATCTTGAGAGTCGCTTCCGGAAGACATAGTTGTGGATATGATTAACGTTGAGAAGACTTCGCCGGAGGCTCCTAAGGGTTCCCTAACACTAAATCTAAGGGAATAGCAAAAAAACGCTAAGAAAGCGAGTAGCAGGAGGATGCACTAACCTTAAGGGATGATTTCAGTCGACGGCTGAAGTTTCTCTCTCTAGAAATTTTTGCAGAGCTTCGCTGTGATTTAGACACGCACAGGAGAAAATGGTTTGGGGCAAGGGGTATTTATAGGCAACTGGGCCTCGAAATCTGGGCCTCGACTTGAAAGCCCATCATTACGGGCCGCCGGTTAAGCCAATGGATGGCAGCCGCCCGCCTTCAGCCAACGGGGACACGCCACGTCAACTCCCCTTCCAACGGCTATATTACAACGGCTATATCTCGGAAACACCGGAGTACCCTCGAATGATAGCCTCCGGCTATCACTCACCACAGCCTTCTGCCAACGAATTCCGCCAAACGCCTTCGAGCCTGCAGCAGTGTACTCCTTCGGCTTATCAACATTACCACCCCTCCGGAGCTCACCTTCGGCCTTCGGCCTTCGGCCGAACTCGCCTTCGGCCTAAAGGAGTGAGGGACTAGGATACACCCCTCGGACATCACACAGAACAAAATTCCCTCAAACGAAAACCTACAATTGACGCATATAGCCTCCGGGCAAACATCAAAATAGAAACCCTCGGGTACATACTTCAATATGCCCTTCGGCTTCCGCAGAGTGTCAAAAATTTTCCCAAGTCACTCGCGGGAATGAAGCAGCCCCCATCACAACACACACAGGCAATACATCTACGCTTCCTTCAGGAAACCCTCGACATGTGAGGGACTGAGGGGAGCCTCCGGCGAACCTGCGAAGGTTATGTATACCCTCCCTCAGAAAACCCTCGACATGTGAGGAACTGAGGGAAGCCTTCGGCAACCAGCAGAAGACAAGTTCTCCAGCAAAGGCACCCAACGAAATGATGAAGCCTCCAGAAGAATCAACACAACTACTCCTTTTCCCTCAAGTACCTTTCGGCAAAAGGAGTGAGGGACTCCTGATGGAGTATATGGCCCAGGAACCCCCGGCCCATAGACTCCTACTTCTCCTACGCAAGTCCATTGAGCCCAGAAAACAACTCGGGCCCAAATACAACGGCCCAAGCCTCAAAGTAGCCCAGAATACACACTGGGGTGCCTTCGGCCTCCTTGTCCGAAGGCCCCAAAACTCACAGGATAGCCTTCTCTGGCATAAGAAGCTACTGGGAGAAAACGGCGAAAAACATGATCCTTCGGCATTATCAAGCCCTCGGTATCAGAGAAGCCTTCGGCTGAACCAAGCCTTCGGTCACACAAGGCCTTCGGCTGCACAGGGGTCCTTGGCCACATGGAGCCCTCGGCTACACAAGAGCCTTCGGCCGAACATGCTCAATCATCGAAGATTCCTTTTGGAGACAGCCAACCACCGCATTTAATGCCACGTCACATCCGCCAGCCGCATTCAATGCGGTGAACGTACCACTGCCGGTGCCACCCGGCTGATGTGACCCCTCGGCAGTCGGATTACTGACACGTGTACTCTAATCGCATTTATTGCTGCTATAAACAGCAGCCCTTATTCTCCTTGTAAGACAGGCTGAGTTCATTTAATAAATCAACTCTCTCTCCTCCTATTTTGCTCTTACTTCTCTCTAGTTATTCCCGCAATAACCCCTCGGATAAGATACCCCCGGGTAGATTGTCCATCACTGTCCATTTGTGATCGCTCAATTCAGGCTATCCGGTCTCGCCCTTGGACAAGGTCACTTACCAGTGCGCTTAACAACTTGGTATCAGATTCAGGGACGATGGGGACCAATGCTACTAACGTTGATTCACTGAAAACCATGATTGAGAGTCTTGACCAACGACAACTCACTGTGGAACAACAACAACTGGACGTACATGCATCTATGGCTAAACTAGCTACCATTCCAACAGCCATGGAGGCTCTCGCATCAACTATTCATAAGATAACCGGTGAAACTTCATCCATTTCTTCCCAATTCGAACGCAGGAGAGAAGCAGACTATTCACGCCGTGATACAGATCACTCCATAATTCCCAGGTTCTCAAAAATTGAATACCCACATTACGATGGAAAAAGTGATCCCCTGTCATGGTTAAAACAATGCGACAGTTTCTTTGTTCAACAATGTACACCCGCTCCAGCTAGGGTGGGTTTGTCGACCTTCATATGATCTGTACCGCACAACTGTGGGCTAATCAGTTGGATACTGTCTCTGTGGACCTAGTTCTTCTGTCAATGTACTAAGTGTTTTGGGCTACCGAGTAGCACGAATCCAGGAGGCGATCTTGCAACAAGCAAGATAGTATGAAAAACTCATTAACAGGGGGAAGTTATAAGAAAGGCATACTTGTAAGAAAGGCATTGTCTCAGTTGGATGTTAACAACGCCTTCTTACATGGGACTCTTCAGGAGGAAGTTTACATGAAGCAACTGCCTGACTTTAATGATGGTTCCGGGTTTGTGTGTCGTCTTCGGAAATCCATTTATGGCCTTAAACAAGCACCTCGGGTGTGGCATCAGGCACTTAGTGGATTTCTTCTCTCACTTGGTTTTTATCAGTCCGTTGGCATCTGATGCCAATCTCTTCATATTTTCCTCCCATCCATCTTATATCTTTGTATTGGTTTATGTGGATGACATTATTGTTACTGGCTCTACACCGGACTTGATACATCAGACTATTGACTCCTTGGCCCACCAGTTCTCTATCAAGGATTTAGGAGCCTTACACTATTTCATGGGCATGCAGGTTACTCCTACACAGGATGGACTCTTTCTTGATCAACATAAATCAGGGTAGTCAAAAGCGCGCGCCTTGTCGCTTAAGCGCACCAGGCGAGGCGCTATAGAGGTGCAGCGCCTTATACTCTTCCAGGCGAGGCTGTCTGACTGAGGCGCAATATAAGCGCAAGAAGCGCAAGAAGCGCAAGAGGCGCAGAAGCGCTAAAAGCGCACGCCTGACTTGCGTGGACCGGTAAAGGGTTCTAAATTTTTTAAAATAAGATTTGGGCCTATTTTAAATAAACCCATATCAATAATAAGATATAGCCCATCCAACTAATAGGGGAAAACAACTTAAATGGTTAAACCTTGTTAAAACCCTTCTTAGTGAATGTATTAAGGAGTCTACTAAACTTAGAAAGTTTTCACCGTAGCATTCTTATTTCCTGTGTTCGACCCACAACCTACACAACATGCACAAGGTAACATTCTCCTCCCATTTTTTCCATCTTCTTTCTGGTCTTTTTAATTTCTTCTTTTCTTATTTTTTATTTTTGCCTTTTGAATGTAAAATCAACATCTTCTTTTTTTATTTTTATCTTATCATTTAAAAGTTTGTATCTTTATCTTTTCTCTTTCTTTTATCTGTTATTTTCTTGTTTTGTTTTATACTTTATCTCCTAACAAGTAATGATTTTCTTCTTTTAGTTATGTTTGTTCCTTTTTCTAACTTGTTTTATACTTTAGAATTATAACTATGGTATATATTTTTAGTATATAGATGGTGCGCCTGACACGAGTCAGGCGAGCGCTTTTTTTGCGCCTTGCGCCTCAGGCGATTTGAGTACTCTAGCGCTTTGATTGCGCCTCACGACTTTGACTACCTTGACATAAATACATTATGGATTTATTAAAGACATTAAAAATGGATGAGGCTGATCCTATGGCTACGCTGTTAGCTCCCTCTGCTTCATTAACTCTTTTTGACAGTTTAGGCTCCTGTGATGTCACTCTCTATCGCCAGGTCCTCGGGTGACTTCAATATTTGAATCTTACTCGACCAGATGCTGCATTTGCTATTTGCTATTAATTTATGCATAAACCTACGGTTAATCGTGGCAGCTTCTCAAACGTCTTTTGCGCTATCTACATGACACTGCCTCTCATGGCCTCTTAATATTAATTAGTCCTACTTTGAATATTAATTAGTCCTCTTAGTATTAATATTAATTAGTCCTACTTTGAATATTCTTCCTTTATTGTAGTTATATTAGAATAGCAATTCAATTTCCAGTTTAGTTTAAGGCAACCCTTAATATGTATATAAGGGGTTCTAAGGTAAATTAATAAACATCTTTTGAGAAATTAACTATGGGATTTTTTGGCTAGATCGGAGATCAGATTAATTCCATTAAAACCTCTTTAGGTTTATTCCTCTCTTCGCACTTGACTAAAATAGATTCAGACACAACTCTGTCCTGTGATCTCTCAATTTAGGCTACCCGCTCTCGCTCTTGGACAAGATCATTTACCCGTGCCCTTAACAACCACTTAGTAATAGTAATGTAATTTAGTAGGTCGACTAAGTCCAATTAACACAATACTGTTATTTCTCTTTTGTGAATCTCTTACAGGATTTAATATTTAATTAACTTCAACGGTCGAATATACTCTAAAACAAGTATACTTTGTTCTGAAGCTTTTAAATGGTGTTCTGAACTGTTCCGAATCATCTGATTAGCAGAAGTAATACAGTACTTGTTTCTCTTGTTTTTCAATTCTATAAAAGCCAAAACTTTCATGATCTGCTTGAACTAATGATACCACTACAAATCTGTATTTGTTTACACATTTACAGATCTCTTACAATAGGTCAAATGCAAGGGAAGTTTCAAATGGTGGTTGTCCGACATACAGGCCATGCTATACAGGTACATATATACACACTTATTTTTCTCCTATTCTATGGGTTTAATGAAATCCAAAATCTATTTTGTACTGAATCTTGCAGGAAGATGCACCTGACGAATTTGCCGACTTGATACTTAATTTTATTTCTCGCAATCGGATAGGCCAGCAGGGAGTTGAGGTTAGTGTGTTGGAAAATCTGTTAACATCTAATATATGAGTGTGTTGTCCATTCTCTCACTATTTAATCAGTTTGCTTGAAAATAAATTGAAAATGATCAAACAAGTCATGCTTATGTTTTTTTTCCAATTGTATTTCAGTGCATAAAGCACACAAGCTAGAGTGCCAAATTTTCCTATTGCAACTTCACCTAGTTTTTTCAAACAGAGAAGAGTTTCTTAGTTTTTTCTAACTTTCAATTGATGTGTGCCTATCTCTAACTACAAAATGTGAACCAAAGTCCATGAAATTAAGTTTTTTGATAACCAAATAAAATGATGGATAAGTATAGAGATTGAGGATGTTTTTTAATTAGACTGAGATTTTCTGGTCTGGTTTGTTTAAATATGGTCTAGTCTGGTCTGGTAGATGTTCAGTCTATGTGTATTTTATAATTTATATGGTTTAAGTGTGGTGGTTTGTTCTGGTCCGAGTATGCTCTGTTCTGGTCTGAGACTGAAATAAGTCCAAGTAAAAACATCCTCACACAAAACAAAGTATTACTACCTCACATTAAACTTAGCCTATACGAAGTATATATTTCTCCATGAAAAATGACTTGTACCTTTAGGTAACTTGTTAAGATCTAGCTAGCACGCTAAGGGAACAATTAAGTTCATAGCACCATGTAGTCTTAGGTAAAGTAAATAAGTTTCATGAGATTATTCATAGAACTATGTAGTCTTAGGTAAAGTAAATAAGTTTCATGAGAACATTTAAATAGAGTACACTTGGATACAAAGTAATTGTTGAAGAATAGAAAGCTAATTGAGTAACATCCTAGATAATTTTTTTGTGTAGTATTCTAAAAATATGTATTACTTGGTAAAGACGTAAAGTACGTTATCTACACTAGTACACTGCAATGTATACTAAATAACTTTGACTTTATACACCCCTTCAAGTTGGTGCGTATATATCATACATATTCAACTTCTTTACAAGAAATTCAAATGCTGGTTTAAAGAGCCCCTTTTGATAGGACAATTGCTATCTTTTCTTTGGATGCAACAAATGGTTTGCAGATTATTCCAGAATTGAGTTTTTCCTTTACGAAGTGTCAATTTACCTTAATATGTTTGGTTATGTCATGTTAAATTGGACTTTTGCAATGACGATGCAGCTTTATTGTCACAGAACAGCTTCATTGGAAGCTCAAATTTCAACTTATGATATGAGAATGTGATTGGAACCAATTTGGAAACGGAAAAACAAACGTAGATTGATACGAAAGTTTGAAACGGAAAATACAATTGTCCTCAAGGTGGGGGAGTAAGAAACAATCATGCCATTCAACTTCATCCTCACACCCCTTCCTCCCCGATACTTGAGCTCGGATATATGAAATGGCAAAACCTTCCCATTTGGATTGAAAGCTTCAACAATTAGACAATCACACTGATTGGTGTTGGTAGTAGCTTGCTCAAGGTTGTTTGCAGGAGAAGATGATGGATATGCATAACTTTCATTCTGTTCTTGATACCCTTAGTCATCATCTTATTTGATTCCTTATAGCAGCCGTTCTTTATCTGCTGGTTGCGAAAGTCTTTTACTATTTCCCCCCTCATATTTGGTTCCTACCATTTTGCAAGGTAAGAAAAAATATCCACCTCTATTTCCTGAACAGCTTATAGAAGTGGAGCTAATAGTATCCAAATTGACTACTTTTTAGTACAGATGACTTGGAGAACTAGCTGCACTGATTGTAAGGTTATCCTAGGTGAGAGTGTTGTCACTCATCATAATATGCTTGTCTTGAATTGACTTCGTAAGTTCATCCATGGCCCTAACAAATAAGAAAGGACTCGAAGCCGATCCTTGGTGCACTCCGATGGTAATATGGAACTCTGCAGTCCTTCCTACACCAGTACGGACACTTGTAGTACAAGCCCGTGATGATATTAAATACTTAAGTATATTAAGTGCATACATGATGATTCTAATATATTTAAGTGATATGCCTTTTATAGTTAAGGCCCAATAAAGGACTTCTGGAGGTACCCTATCATATGCCTTTTCTAAGTCAATGAACATCAAATGCAGATCCTTTTTAGTGTCTTTATACTTTTCCACAACTTGTCTAAGAACGTGAATGACCTCTGTTGTTGAGCGTCCAGAAATAAAACCAAATTGATTCTCCGAAATTTTCGCACTTTCCCGAAGTCTTTGTTCAACCACTCGCTCCTGAAGTTTCATGGTGTGAATCATAAGCTTAATCCCTCGATAGTTGACACATTCTTGTACATCACCCTTATTTTTAAATAGGGAATGAGAGTACTCTTCCGCCAACTTTCTGGCATTTTGTTGTTTCTCTAGATCATACTGAAGAAATGTGTTAGCCACTCGATGCCTTTCTCTCCCAAACTTCTCCAAGCCTCGATCGGTATGCCATATGGGCCCTCTGCTTTCTCCCGCCCCATCTTTCTCATAGCCTCTTTAACTTTTGTTGTTTGGATCCTTCTCCCTGGATTTACCACACTCTGGTATAGTTAGATCATCGATACCTTGCACTTTATTCCCGTTGAATAAGATATCAAAGTATGATTTCCACCTTTCTTTTATTTCTCGTCCTCCATTAATACCCTTTGATCGACATCATTCACACACTTAAGTTCTACGGTCACGAAGGTGAGCAAGTCTGTAAATATCTTTTCCTCCTTCCTTAGAGTCCAATTTCACATACAATTCCTTGTTCACTTTTCCTCTTGTTTTCTTGACAGTTTTCTTTGTTTTTCTTCTAGCCTCCTTGTACTCCTCTATTTTCCCATCGCTCCAACTTTTACACAATTTGTTACAACATTCCCTTTGGTACTTATTGCTTATTTCCCATCATCATTTCACCAAGATGTGTCCCTTTTTGGTGGCAGACATCTTTTAGATTCTCCGAGTATCTCCTTAGCCACTTTGTTAATGGTGGACTCCATTGATAACCACACATCATCCACATGTGCGTCATTATCATTAGACTATACATCTTCCTCCAACATTATGTGTGCAAAACTTTGTTGTAAATCCCCCTCGAGCCTCCACCACTTGATCTTTCGCTTTCCTTGTACCTTGATCCTTCTTTCTTTTTTACCTTGAAAAATCTAGCACACGCATCCCATGCTGAGTGACAACACTCTCACCTGGGATAACCTTACAATCAGTGTAGCTAGTTCTTCAAGTCGTTCGTACTAAAAAGTAATCAATTTGGGAACTATTAGCTCCGCTTCTATAGGTCACAAGTGAGAGTCCCTTTTCTTGAACAAGTGTTCATCACAACTAACTCATATGTCGAGACAAAATCCAGAATGTTCTTCCCCGCTTCATTTGTAGTGCTGAAACCATGTCCGCCAAAGATACTCTCAAAACTATCACGACTTGGGCCCACATACCCGTTGATGTCACCTCCTATGACTAGCTCCTCTCACCTTGACACTTGTCGCACCACTTCCTCAAGATCCTCCCAAAATTGTTGTGCATCCAATCCCACTTGTGGTGCATAACCACTTATCACGGACACGATCTCTTCTCCTGTTATCGCGATGCGGTCGTTCTTCCTAAAGACATCATAATACCTGCTCCATTTCTTTTCCTCGCTCTCCGAATACCACAACTTAAAACCTCCGGGATTTATCTCACGTGCCCTTTCTCCAACCCACTTAGTTTCTTGCATGCACATTATGCTTATATTCCTCCTCTTCATAACCTCAGCTATCTCATATGATCTTTCCGTAAGAGAGCCAACATTCCACGTCCCAAAACACAATCTACCATCCTGACTTCTCTTCTTCACACCACATCGACCTCCACCATGCCCTTGCATATTTGACGCCATCCCAGGGCATTGGAATGGTACGTCACTTTCGGGCGACGCCCTAGCAATCTTAGCATTCTTATCACCACACTCAGACCTATGATACCTTCTCCTTTATCCTGGCTTGGGACAAGCATGATACCAAAAAAATGATCTCATGACGAAGTTGACTGAAAAACAGAATATGTTAAAAACACTTCACATTCATAGTGATAAACCATGAATGTTAGGATTATTTCCGTTGTAACAAAAAAAAGTGATAAACCATTTTTTGATGTAGGAATAGTTAGGATTAAAACATTTAAACTCCTGATTTGATGCAAGTCCTTGAAATATACACTTGATATTTTTATTTTGCTTAGTGGTGGCTAAAGTTAATGGTTCGATTCTGCCTGAAAAAATACAGACTTGATATCCTTATGATCTAATTTGCTAGTTTTTTGAATGTTTATTTTACCAAGACAGTTCAACTGAATATTCAATAGCCGCCGTGACAACTATTGCCAGAAGGCTATTTAAATGGAATACATCAAGATACAAACTAATAGCAAAAGACTAGAGAATTAATTATTAAAGAATAGGAAACTAATTAACTTACTTCCTGTACATTATCTACACTAAAAAATATAGGAGTATTAAACAACTTTGGCCGTTCAAGTTTCAACACAAATGGCCGGCTATGCTTGTCATTGAACTGTTTTTGACAAATGTTTTGATATTATGCAGATACCAGGCATTCGAAGCTGGTCGAGAAAGCAAAACCTTGAAATCTGAAATCATATACATAAACAGGATTACAGTCGCTTCTTGAAGTACGATATAGTTTGCTCAGGATAACATTCCATTATTTGGAAGCTCTGAAGATCCCATATACGTTTTTGTAAATTGGAACATCTCCACTTCTAGCAATCCTTTTCACGGTTATAAGTGAACGAGTTAATTACCTAAGTAGGAGTTCAAAAAGTTCTCATAGGAGTTCAATGTTTAATTTGAGTAAAAGGTACTTCCCCGTTCTTAAATAAATGAAACATTTTTTTCCAGACAATTTTAAATTAATTACAACATATCTCTTTTAAGAAATAATACATTTGACCCAAATAACTTTGCCATTTCATAAAATTTGAGTCATGATTTTGATTAGTACAATATTATGGAAGTTATTAATTTATGATTTTATGACAATGTACTTTTAAGTTTTAACAAAAAACATTCTAATATAATTTTTATTTTATGAATAATTTCCAAAAAAAATATAGTGAATCAGTTTTGAAAGTGGCAAAGTTTTTTGGGACGGAAGTAGTAAGTAATAACCAAATTGACTTGTATACCCTCAATTATTCAAGACCTTGTGACTATTTGTATGTTTCATCTTTTTAATTAATGACAATTAATTTTTTCCATCTCAATTCTGTTGATTCCTCAATGAGAATTGTGAGTAGTTTTAATTAGAGATTTGAGATTGATTAAGAGGTTAATCATGATCTAGGGTTAATGTCTTGATGAATTAATTGCACGATCTTTAATTTGAGATTGTGTTTGAATAATTTAATTGATATCTTGTGTAACCTGGAAGGCTGGAATAGATGCCATTAAGCTTAGGGATTTCATTAAGAGTGTTTATGTCATGAAATCCTTTTTTTTGTCCAACTAAACCTTATGTAAAACTGCACTCCTATTCGCAGGGGAGGAGCCAAGGGGGTTAGAGTGGTTAGCCGACCCCGCTTTAAGTTTAAGAACGTAGAGCTCTGAGATACCTTGGATTTGATATATTATGGGTCCCGTAACTCATTACGAGTAAAAAGTTACTACTTCTGGATTGTATTCTTAAATTTAAAAATAAAACACCTTATTCAGTCATTAGTTGTGCGAAAATTCTGATACATTACATATATATCAATACATTAACCGAAAAATGCTCATTAAACTACCATTTATCTCAGCTACATATGAAACATTTAACTCAAATATTGTATAATAATTATCCATCATTTTGATACTGTATATTATTAAATGCCGACCCCCTCACACATTTTTCTGGCTCCGCCCCTGCCTATTCGTGCCTAATCGATGCATTTTAGTCCTATATGGGTAATTTTATCTTTCTTTTGTGATTTTGATATGGAAAGTTCCCGAAATAGGACTAAAACAGTTTGAAAATTCCAAAATAGGACTGTCATGTTTTTTATTCCCAGAATAAGAGTAATTATTGTCAAGTTTGGAAAATACTACCATGTTTGAAGTCTGGTACTGCCAAAACATGACAGTAATTAGTCCTATTTTGGGAATAAAAACATGGCAATCCTATTTTGGAATTTTCAAACCTTTTTAGTTCTATTTCGGGTATTATCTCATTTCGATATCATGAATCGATTCATATTAGCTTGAATGCTGTTAAGACTTGAATGTTGTTATTGTTGTTGTTGGATGTATTATGTAAATTAGTTTACATGAACCATATAACTATTATTGAAGAAACATGAATTCTTAAAAGTATGGAGTAGTATTTAATTTAAAAACATGCATATATGACAAATAGTTATTGGATGAATGGACGATCACAAATGAAATATGATTATTTAGGGAAAGTTCCCGAAATAGGACTAAAACAGTTTGAAAATTCTAAAATAGAACTGTCATGTTTTTTATTTCCAAAATAGGAGTAATTACTGTCAAGTTTGGAAAATACTGCCATGTTTGAAGTCTGGTATTACCAAAACATGATAGTAATTAGTCCTATTTTAGGAATAAAAATATGACAGTCCTATTTTGGAATTTTCAGACTTTTTTAGTCCTATTAATAGGGTAATATCTCGATTATTTACTCATTAATATTTACGGCATATCAATATCTACAGTGTCCCTTTTATTGACCATAGACTTGCTCGTAATCCATCATATATAGTCAGTGGCGGACCCAGAGATTTGTGAGAGCGGGGGCATACTAGGCACCAAAGTTAGTCTATAATAAAAACTCCAAATGTAATAAAGATGGTAAAAAAATATATATTAAATTATACTCCCTCCGTCTCAGAAAATTCTTCCCACTTTGACTTGGCAAGGAGATTAAGAAAGTGGAATAAAGTGGAAATGTATGATTGTAGTTGTGTAAGAAAAATGTGAAATGAATGTGAACCACACAAATTGTCCAAAAATGGTAAGTGAGAAGAATTTTTTGGGACGACCCAAAAAGAAAAGTGGGAAGAATTTTATGGGACGGATGGAGTACAAAATAGTTAAATTACATATTAAATAGTTCACTGCTGCAACTTTGGTAAATCGAGCCTACGAGTTTTCATATTCTGAAAATGTTGCATAATAGTTTCATTATCGATGCTTCTAAACACATCTCTCTCGATGTAACACACCAAGCAATCTGTAAGATAGTCATCTCCTATCTTATTGCGAAGTTCTGTCTTGCTAATATTCATCGCAGAGAAGGCTTTTTCAACGGTGGTCGTTGCAACTGGTAACACGGTAACACTAAAGGCAACTCAATCAAACGATATCACAAGTGAAAAGAATTGTGAACTTTAAGCTCAACCATCTTCTTACAAACTTCACCAATAGTTTTTGTACGGCAGAAAATAACTCATTTGTTCTCATTTCATATATCCACACCTGGAGTTGCTCTTTCAGCTCCATTCGATCAATAAATGAAAAATCACATGAATATAACTCTGCAAGGTTCAGTAGCTTTGACTCACAGAAATTGGAGAAGTTCGGCTTTTATCATTCTAGTCTTCCAAATGTTAGTGGGTTTTTAGACTTTTAATACTCCGTACTTTTAGTTGCCCGCACATTGGCTACTTTTTTGCATTTTAACTTTTTTTGTTACTTTTTGTTTTCAATTTTTAGTTATTTTTTTTATTTTTTTGATAATTCTATATATTTTATTTTAATTCAGCTAAAATTTAAATATTTTGTATTAATTATTTATTTATATAAATGTAACATTTTAGTATCTTAATTATCAAATACTGATATGAAGTTGGGGCACCCGTTTTTATCCTAAGTACTACTACTGAAATTCCGGGCTCAAAGCGAGGGCACGTACCCCACCTAGCCCCCCTAGGTCCTCCACTGTATATAGTTGAAGTCCATTCTCAAAAAATACTACATGATGAAAGGATAAAAAACAAACGAAGCACGAACCAAAAATTAAGCGAAACTAATACGTCTTCTACCCCGGAAGCAGATTCCCATGTAACAGGCTAACAGGGCATGCTTGAGAAAAATGTGAGATCGGTGGGCATACTAAAACCAGAAAATTTGTAGGATGAAAGGAAACAAAGTTGAAAGACTTCTTGATCAATATGGAACGGGTGAGGACATTTTCCCAACTTGATCCAAAACATCAAGCACTTCAGCCCTACTCCTCACGATCCTGTGAAACACCTCTCTAACCTGCTGTTGCAATGGAACAAGCCCCTCCTCCATTCTCCGGCAGATATCAGCCAGCTCCGCCACCTGCACCGCCACGTCCTCTACCTTCTCATCCTCCAATGGGAACTGAAACGACTCCGCGAACTCCACCAGTGACTGCGCCACCTTCTCCATCCTCTGCACCTCCTCCAACAATCCGGACGTGCCTTTCTTTTCCTTTTTCTTCCACTCCTCCGCTATCTTTTCGTGAAGCCCGATTAAGGCTTGGCTCCACGTCATCTGTCTCGGGAGAGGAAAATGGGCTGATAGCCCGTTCCTCTCCTGACACGGAATCGCGGCCACCAAAGCCCACATCACAAAGAGCAACACTGTGCTCATGATGTAGACGGGCAGCGCGGTGGTCTCCCCACCGCGCGGCGCTGCGAGATTGGATGACATGGCTTGTATCTGCTTCGCCGCGGACCAAGACTTGGCCACGGACCACGACAACAACCTGAAACTCCCGTCGGTTTTGTCCTTGCTGCTGGCTGCAGTGCCGCTGCTCCTGCGACCGAACGACCAGCTCCTCTCCGACAGCTTCCCGTGATTGTTACTATTATTCTCCCTGTCGTCGAGCGCCATCGACGTGAGCAAGGTATTCAAGGCCTTTTTGGCGCGCCTCACCTGCCCATCCCCTAACGGCTTCTGCTCAAGAGAGGTGACCGCGATTTGCGCGAGCTTCTGCCAATGCCTGAGAAGCTCAACGCCGTGGCTGACGGCGTTGCAGATGTCGAGGGCCTTGACGGAGCGGTCAAGGAGATCGGGGATGAGGCGATCGAGCGGGGGCTTGGAGAACTGCGATGGGTCGCGCCCGATGAGGATCACGGCTTTAAACTCGGCTTCGCAGAGGACGAACGCGTCTAAAAGCTTCCTGAACCAGGAGACGGAGAGGAGAGGCGCGTAGTCAGGTGGGGCATGGGAGTCCGTGGCGGGGTCGGGGGCGTCGGAGGGTTGTCTGGTGGCGGGAAGGAGTTCGGAGAAGCGGTCGGCGACGTGTTTCTGGAAGAACTCGAGGTCCTCGAGCTCTTGGTCATGGGGGTTATTGCTGCTTTCCATGGAAGACACCTGGTTGCGACGGATGCTTATGCGGTTCAGGAAAGACCCTTGATCCGTCATGTTTATTTGATCTTATGTTCGTTTCTTCCTTTAATTACTATACACTTTTACAACTCTTATATCTAGCTAGATTGATGATTCAAGAGAGACCCATATATCGATTTGATTTTTCCCCAATGCTGGGAGCGGGTAGAAGAATGAAATACTTTGTAGGAAGTAAATGGGATCGAAAGGATTTACGAAATGAAATAACCTTAATATAGGTTCGGAGGATGTCGTGGGTGGTTAAAATAAATCGGTTTAAGGCTGTCGGAAATCAAATAAAGAAAAACTAGACATGAAGAACAGGATGAACGTATGTTTCTCCTTGTTTTGCCTTTTGTCCACTCCTTAACGATAGATGCGCATAAGCATCTCTTATGGGATGGCAACGGGTGGATCGGGGACGGTTTTACGTATAACCGTACCCGTCCCGTTAAATAATTTCCTGCCCCGTAACCGCCCCATTATCTAACGGGTAATTTTTACTCAAACCATAACCGCTCCAACGGATAACGGGTAAAATTTCGCGTAATCGCGGGTAGAACTGAGCAAAACCCGATCCGACCCGAAAAATCCGATATTTTTTCGGATATTATCCGAACCGAAGTGGATATCTGACCCGAAAAACCCGAAACCGAAAATCCGATTAGGATTGGGCCCGGACCGGGTGTTGGGTAGGGTTTGTGAAATCCCAACCCGACCCGCCCGAATATCCGAAATATATGTTAGTGTGTATTTTGAATATTTTAAATTAATACTTGTGTTCAATTATTTGTGCAATTATTTATACAATTTGTTTTAAATTATTTGTGTAAATTGAATGTGTAGTGCACTAGTGTGTGTAATTTTTGTCAAAGTGGCATTCCAACACTTTAATTATCCAATTATAATGTGTTTTAATATAACCGAAATATCCAAAATATATTAAATTATGTAGTGTGTACTTTGAATATGTTAAATTAATATTTGTGTTCAATTATTTGTGTAATTATTTGTGCAATTTGTGTTAAATTATTTGTGCAATTTGGAAGTTTAGTGCACTAGTGTGTACATTTTTTTGTCAAAGTGGAATTTAAACACTTTAATTATCCAATTATATTTTTTTAATATAACCGAAATATCCGAAATCTGACCCGATATCCGATAATATCCGACTTAAAAATATCCGAAATACCCGATTTAAAATATCAAAGGGTCGGGCCTAGTATTTAAATTAAAAAACCCGAACGGGTTTAGGGTTTGCAGACCCGACCCGACCGAAACCGACCCGTGCACACTGCACAGCCCTAACCGCGGGTAACCACTTTATTAAATGAATCATTAAAATTTTAATATAAAAATAATACGGAGTATTTTAAAAGGCGAAAAACGGCATTGCCTAGACGACTCTAAACTTCAGATGCCACTTTAAAGATTCATATATCTACAAAACGAGTAAGAAAGCAACTTAAATTAATTTGAACCTAAAAATAGTTGATCTAAAAAATAATTAATCACGAAAAAATATGATAATGGTCAAACAATACTATTAAAATATATTAAGAACTTTCATTCATACATTATAATTAGTACATCTATAATCTATATATACATAATAGAAAGAGAAAATTCTCATATTTTAATAGTTGTGAGACAAATAGTAGATAAAATGTAATAACAATATAACTAAAAATAAACGGGGCGTGTATGGGGCGGGTAATGGGGCGGGGATGTATAAAACCGTAACCGCCCCATTACCCGTAAAAACAAAACGGGTACTCCCCACCCCATACCCATTACCCGATCAATGCTGTTTTCCCCGTTGGAGAGACTCGAACTATAACTACCAGAGGATGATGAGAAGCGCGTTTTTTTGGTTATGAAAAAAAAAGCATGACATCCCATCCCTGAGGGCCCCCCAACACCAACCGGACGGCACGATGGGAAGATGTAAATTGGACTATAATCACAATCTGACAGATAGAGAGTGGGGCTCTGTCCCCGGTACTTGCAGAAGCCCTATGCATTTTTCAGCATAGTAACCCCTCATCGCAGTTGCCGGGATTCGAACCCGAGATCTAACCCTTGTGGCACTCCCTCGCTACCAGTTGAGCTACGCCCACAGTTAAAACTAAGGTATGGGTAAACTTTTTATAGTGACTAGCTCCACCGCTTTCGCGGCCCCTTACCCCAGAAACCCAACTTTGGCTTGGCCCTACGAGTTAGTATACACCGCTTGGCCCTACCACTTGAAGGTTTTTTTTAGGGGAGCATAGTATCACTGGTGCTAGTGGGACTCGAACACGAGACCTCTCCTATGCACGGTAACCTCACAACCAGCTAGGCTGGAAGTGATGATTAAAACTAAGGTATGAGTAAACTTTTTATAGTGACTAGCTCCACCGCTTTCACGACCCCTTACCCCAGAATCCCAACTTTAGCTTGGCCCTACGGGTTAGTATACACCGCTTGGCCCTACCACCTGAAGGGTTTTTTGGGGGAGCATAGTTCCACTAGTGCTAGTGGGACTCGAACACGAGACCTCTCGTATGCAGGAGTAACCTCACAACTAGCTAACCACTATTTTTGGTTATGGGAAATCGTGATACGGCGCCTTATTAATTGAGGGTATAATGGGCAGTTCACAACTCTTTTGGTCCTACAAAATTTTATCTTCCGGGTTGATCCCATTTTAAAGGCCTTTTTATTTCAATATTACTAAAAATAAGATAAAAGATAAAAAAGTGATATGTTTTCAAAAATCAAAAAATGTGACCAACATCATACTTAACCCTGCAGCGTAAAGTGACTCCGGGCAAAGTGACTTCGGCCAAAGTGACCCCACCGACCACAGTGACTGCCCCACCGACCACAGTGACTGCCCGCCGCCACAGTGACTCAGGTCAAAGTGACTCCGCCGCCACAATGACTCCGACTATAATGGCTGCTCGCCTACCAGCCACCCTGAGTGCCCGCCTACCGACCACAGTGACTACCCACCCGCCGACCAAAGTGACTTTGGTCACTATACCTTGCTGCCCACCGGCCACAGTTACTCAGCCACAGTGACACCACCGCCACCTCCGGCCACTTCCACCGCCACTGCCACCGCCACCTCCGATCCCACCCCCAGCCCCCAACCACCTCCCCATATTGCCCACCACCTCGCCGGCACCGCCATCCCGCTGCCACCACCGTCTGCCCATAGACCACACATTACCCCTGCCCATCCCCATGCCCCACCAGCACCCCAAACCCAACCCCAACCCCCTGCCCTGTTCCAAGCTACCAATCGGCCAGCCAAACTACCATGTGAGCCCATCAACGCCGTTCAACACGACCAGCCTCCACCATTCAGCCCCAATCCCCAATCGTCGCTCCCCCAACCCTAGCCTCCAACCTCCAGTGCACCACTGCTGTCATAAATTTAGCCGCCGCTCAACCACCAGCCAACACACCCAGATTCAAACCCTAATTTTGGGCCGCTGCCGCCGCCGTTTGCTAGCAATTGCCACCGCCGGAGTGTGACCAGACTCTGTAACTTGGCCGCGACGACTTCCAACTCAGATCTGGAAGCAGGCGGAGATCTGGAGGACGACATAGGAGGCAACGTCGGATGCCGGCATAGGCAGTGGTGGCGACTGCGAAGGTGGAGCGAATACGATCTAGAGGCAGTGGCGGAGTCTGCGAAGCTGGAGCCGATACAACCTGGAGGCAGTGGCGGTACGATGCGATGGCCGACTGCAAAGATGAAGAGAAGGAAGATCGATTTCCTTCCGTCCATGGCAGCTCTGGCGTTTGATGTGCGTCTGATGAAGAAAGTGAAGGCGTGCGTCGAATGAAGAAAGGTAAGCCGGGTCACTTTTCTGGAAAAAATGAAAGGAGTCATAAATTTAGAAATCAAAAGCCCATTAGTAATAACCAGGCCATTTTGAGAAAGTTAATTAGTCCCATTTTGAGAAAAATTCTATAATCCATAATAACTCCTTCAATTATCGATATCTGCTTATCTTGATGATATGTGGCGTGGAGGATTCCGCCGCTCACTCCTTCATTATCCAGTCACTTGTGTTTCTCAGAACCTCTATCCCTTCAAAGAAGTCCATTACCAAAAGAAATGGCCACTGTCGCGCCAAAACTCGCCATAGGCATTCTACCTAACCGCGATCGCCTATACTGCCGTAAACCATCGTCCCTGTCCCATCCGCTCACCAACACCGATCTACAAGCCCCAGGCTATACAATCTCCACCAATACTGTTTCTGGGATCACACATGACCGGAGAAGGTTCATTTGCCGGGCCGCAGAGATTTCGGTGGCGGAAGGGCCGTCGGCATCGGAGGGCGGAGGGGAAAGTGAAGGGGGAACGAACAACTGGGTGCCGGTTGTGCCCCTGGCCGCACTGCCGAAAGGAGAGCGGCGCGTGATCTCTCAAGACGGGGAGACTATACTGCTGCTTTGGTATAAAGATGGCGTCTTTGCCATTGAGAACCGATCCCCTGCAGAAGGCGCTTACAGTGAAGGCCTTCTCAACGCCAAGCTTACTCAGGTATTCCCATTTTATTGGTATTTCCTGAACGAATGGAATAGATTTTCATTGGGTTTTCTTTCATCCTTGTTGTTACTAAAATTATAGTCAATTTTCGTAATATTCATTCAGTTCAAGAAATAGATTCTCCATAGTTTTGAATCGATGCAGGGGTGAGGTGTATACAAAATTAAGATTCTAAACTGTATTTTTAAAAGAAAAATTATTCAAAAACCCAATGTTTTTGGCTCAGAATATTATTGGGTAACTTAATTATGATTGCTTCAAGACTTTTGCTCTTTCCTGGATTATTTAATGGGATAACCGGACCATACCTATATAACTCTATAAGCAGGACATGGTCGATATGTTTGGTGTGGTTTGGTTTGATAGACATATATGATAATATGATGAAAGTGAATTTATTTTACCATTAGTCCGATTGCATCACTCATTGTGATGGTTAAGTGATAAAATATTTAGTGCAAAAATCTGTTCACATTATGTTATACTCCATTTAAGTTTAAGACTTTAAGGTACAAAGTTCTACCCAATGTGAATAAAGCTTTGGTATGGAGTAGTAGTATTATTATTCCTCATGCAACGTACTCTGGTGTGTGTTATTGCATCATTCTACTACAACATTCCATTTCAGAGACTCCAATCCTGTGCAGGATGGTTGCATTGTTTGCCCGACAACTGACAGCACGTTCAACTTGCGGACCGGAGAAATAAAAGAATGGTACCCTAAAAACCCGGTGTTGAGATTTCTGTCACCTGCATTGCGAAAACTGCTTGTGTATCCTGTCAAGATAGACAGTGAAAATATATACATCAGCACAAGACGAGTAAAAACCGACGCTACTGCCGAGATTGTATTCAGTGGAAAGGCTCAACCCGGTGTTACATCTACTGATGTCAATGTGGAAGAGGTAACAAAAGCCGTTAGGTAGTTTGTTCTTTTTTGGCGAGCAGTCTGGTGTTTATAGCAAAAGTGAATTTCTTCAATGTAACAGCTGGGTCGCATTATAATGATAAAAATTGCTCAAAGAACTATAACTGGAAAGATTGGAGATTAGACTCTTACCTTGATTTTTTGTTCTGATCCCTTTTTATTTAATTTTTAAAAATAGGTAGTCTATATTTATAAATTTCATCACACTTGGCCACTTGAGTACAAATGCAGGACCTGTTCATTTGGACTTAACTTTTATGTCCTAGCTGAACTGGTTCTTTCGATTTAGGTCTAGGTTGAAATAAGTCCAAATGATCATAGCCAATTATATTTACAAAACGAGCTCTGAATCATCCTTGCCTATATGCACCTAATGCATGTCGTTTTAGGTGAGGATGGTGATTGATGAGGGTCAAGAGGCATTTGGATTCTCCAGAAAGAATGAGTTCATAAACGGAAAAGCTGCTGCGATTGGCTTTCTGCTGCTGCTAGATTTTGAACTTCTTACTGGCAAAGGTCTTCTTGAAGGAACAGGAGTATTGGACTTCATTTATTCATTCACCAATTTTCTAAAATGAATTCCCATGTAGTTTAGGGACACTATCTCATCTCACACAGGCAGCATATCTTGTGGGAAGTAATGTAATCTAACTTCCAATCTCATCGGAAACAGAAAATGGGGAGAGATTGTGATATTCATGCCATCACTTTTCAACTACAGATGATAGCAAATACATTTATCTGTGTTGTATAGAGCATGTTTTAATATGTGTACCGATGAACACGTGTAAAAGGATCCAAGTGAAGTTGAAAGAATGTTTCTCAAAATATTTCTACGGAGTATTGCATTTTCTTTGTTATACCGTAATTGTTGGATTTGTTGAACATGTAAACTATATTCCCCCAAAAAAGCTTCATACTTATACTCTTCACTCCTTAGAGGGAAAATAAATGATAGTGTGGTGGATGTCATTTGCCCAAAATTTAAATTTATGAATGGTGTTCCCGTTTTAGAAGACCCAATGCACCAGTAACATTTTCCACATTTTGCCGTGTGTACAATGAAACCAAGTCAAGGGAAAATAACACCAGGAAAGTAACAGACTCTGTATTTACTCTGTATTTATTATTAACCTGCCATAAGGGTCCAAAGCACGGATGATAAGGGCATGTGTTTCACAAATCACAAAGGGAAAATAACACCAGGAAAGTAACAGACTCGGAACACATTATACATGGACGGGATTTACTAAGGTCTCATTCCATTTTGAGCGGGTGGTGGTGGACAGGTTCGGATCCTGCATTGAGCCTCCCTGGAGAATGTGATTCAACTTTTGACGATCCTGTCGCAACAGGCCTCCCAGTCCCAATGAAAGAAGTCCTTGCACCCAGGTTGTCAAGAAGTAGACGGAATGCCCAGTTGAGGACCTTAGGAGAAAACACCCTGTAGAGCAGGAACGTGTCCTCATACCATCTGGGGTACTTCACATATGCATCCCCACGGCATGCCCCGGCCACTATCATCTTCGCAAACTCCTCCACTGCTGCACTTGCATGTACCTTCATTTACCACAATTGTAACCAAATGGAATAAGCTTAATAGCAATTCAAACTTCTTAGACATAGCTAGATGCATCAAATACTTACTTCCCTTTCTTCTCTCCATTGCATCTCTGCACCTTCATCCACCATGATTTTCCCCCTCATCATCTCAGTTCCGATCCATCCATGTGTTGCGACTGTGATCCCAATGCTATCTTCCACCTCCAGCCTCAATGTCTCATAGAAATTTACAAGTGCGGCTTTTGCTGCCTATTTCAGTTACAAAATTGTAGGGTATCGATTTTGAGTGGATGGGACTAACTTCCTACCTAATTAGGATGTGCTTGTACTAACTAAAAAATAATAGAAAAAAGAGGATAATGTAGTCTCACAGAGTATACGCTCATTCTTGGTAAAGGCATCCAGTTTTCGACTGATGCGTTCACTATGATCCGTCCTCCGTGTTGGCGGAGATATGGAAGGGCTACATATGTTGGATACACATTTCCCCAGAAGTTTATGTCCTGGCCGGAAATGTAGAGATCTATTGTTATGAAACATTAAATAGAATGTAATGCAAGTTAATAAGCATGCTTACAATCCTATGGTTCTGCAAAGAGTGTATATTACAGCATAGTGTTAATGTGTTATCCATCTCAACTTATGGATCATGAAGGTGAGATTGACACACATTAAAAAGGTGAGAGTTTGTGTTTCGTGTACAATTTGTAAAATATAATAAATTTGAACAATATAAATACTACTCCGTACTAAGAATGTTTTTACTTGGAGTTATTTCAATACACTGACATTTACCAAACCAAACCAGAAAAACATCCTAAATACGTAGTATGAGATAGACAAAATAGGACGAACGTTAAAGAAAGATAGGACAAAGTATTGACCATGGAGGGAGTTTTATTTATATCAATCACATACCATTTGAATGGGAAACACAGAAGTGTCCATGGCTTCCTCAAAGTAGCATGTATGTCCTAGGCTTGTTGAATTTACGAGATGATCCACTGAAAAGGGAAACCAACTTGATAGTTTTCATGATTACCAATTTTTTTTATGAAATTAAAGGAGAAATAACTATGGTTATTTGCTTAATTGTGTGGCTCAATTAGAGAACAAATTGCATAGTAGATGAAAGGCAAACGAAACCGTTAGAGCGAGTATGCGACCTCGGCCATAGAAGTTGACAGTGTCAGTGATGAATCTCCTGCAGTCTTCTTCCTTGACAACATCTGCGGCTGTGACCAAAACATTCTTGGCACCCAGCAGTCTAGCATTCTCACTTATCCCCCACAGCCTGTTCTCTCTCCGTGCTACTAACACCAGATTGGCTCCCCTTTTTGCATACTCATATGCAATGTGCTGCCATTAAATATAAAACATATACTCCGTACTAAAGTGTGACTTAATTCACATATTATATATATATATATATATATATATATATATATATATATATGTTCAGGTGAGAAATGCATCTAATGTGAGAAATGAGAATGAATCTCAGCCATTGGATTTACGAAGTTGCACTAAAATTGGTCAACTTTGGCATCAACCGATTCCAAAAAAACTCTCTTTTTTCCTTTGGAGGATTTCTAACAATCTAATCATTTGCTCTTATCAAATTCGGCTATGCCGGTCCTTTTAAATGCCCCCACTGTGATCATGATGACAACATTGATCACTGTTTTCTGCAATGCAGTTATCATAAGCCTATTTGGGAGCACTTCCAAATTAAAAGAGACAAGCTTATTGGTACAATTACAAGCAATATCCTAAATTGGACAAAGCACAAAAATTTCCTGCTTTATTGTATCATTCTTTGGAATATTTGGAAGGTGAGGAATGCCAGGTTGATTGAGAATATTATTATTAATGAGTCTGAGGCCATTTCCAACATCCGTAGAGACCTCATGGACTACACTCCTAGTTCTAAGATCTCCTAGTTCTAAGATTCCGCCTAATACCAATGACCTTACGTTGAACCTAGCCCTTACTTCGTCCTTCTTACATCACCAAATTGGTTTTCTTGTTCGTAATCACAATGGGGAGATGATTACTCATGCTTTTAATAGTCTCTTTAACTCCTCTTATCATTTGGCGTATTTTGATGTTATTCTCTTCGCATTAAATCATTGCAGGAATCTGGACATTCGAATTAATACTCTTGAGATAGATAATTGCAAGATTGCTAACGCTCTAAACATGCAATGTGCTGATTTAAGAGGTTCCATCTTCACTGTAATGAGAATTCGACGGCTTATGAAAGATAGCTTCACACAATGTCGCTACATTAATCACGCTCTCAACAAGGCTGCAAAGTTTATTAGTGAGGGTCATGACCCAAACACTAATCAATTTACAAACATTCTCAAATTTGATTGCATTGGCTTCCCTTCTGTAACCATGTAACTTTCCTAGTAGGCTTGGTTTGGTCCTCCTACTTGTTTTTTCTACTTTTGCTAATAAATTCGCTCACTTTCCCAAAAAAAAAATTATATTTCTGAAAATACATTAGTATGTAGCACGTAAATACATTTTTAGGTGAATTTTGGAAGAACGGGTTGAAGTGAAAAAAAAAAAAGTTGCACTAAAATTGACTTTATGTTGCAGTGATATTTAAATTATGCACATGTTGCACTAAAACTGCTTCATGTTGCACTAATATTTGACGGTGTTGTACCGAAATAGCTTCATGTTGCACTAGACATGTGTAATACGTATTTTTCATAAGTATTTACAGAAATGCCACTGTGCTAGATTGCATATTTCAGTGCATCATGAAGTGTCTTTTACTGCAACTTAGTCGAATCCAATGGCTGAGATTCATTTTCATTTCTCACCCAAAGGGTTCTTCTCACTTGAACCTTACCCTATATATATAGAGAAAACTTCATGTCAGGCCGGTCTGACGAGCTGCCCCGTCCGGCCGAGCCTGTTTGGGCACCTTCCCGGTGGAATTTTATGATGAAATTATTTGAGCATGTTCCTCATCAAGTCTAGTTTGTCCATACCAAATTTCAGCTCAAAATTCAATCGGGAAGGTCGTCAAAAAATTTTTGCAAGCTAACTGGTCCGGAATATGTATTTTCCGGATCAGTTAAGTTGCAAAAATCATTTGACGACCTTCCCGATCGAATTTTGAGCTGAAATTTGGTATGGACAAACTAGACTTGATGAGGAACATGCTCAAATAATTTCATCAAAAAATTCCACCGGGAAGGTTCCCAAACGGGCTCGGCCGGACGGGACAGCCCGTCAGGCCGGCCTGACATGAAGAGCACTCTATATATATATATATATATATATAGGAAAATGTTCAAATAAGGTAGGCCTAAGAATTGAAATTCTTAGGCCTCTTTCATTTGAGGTGCTTCCCGGTCATATTTTTTGATGAAATTTTGTGAGCATGTTCTCCATGAAGTGTTGACTATGCCCACCAAATTTCAGATTAAAATTCAATCGGGAAGACGATTAAATAATTTTTTCAAAATTGTGCAGGGTTTTACATATATAAAATGCAATTTTTTATCAATAATTTATTTAAATGACTTCCCGATTGAATTTTATTGTGAAACTTGGTGGACATAATCTTCAATCCATGGAGAACATGTTTACAAAATTTCATCAAAAAATTTAACCCGGAAGCACCTCAAATAAAAGAGGCCTAAGAATTGTAATTGGCCTACCTTACCTTAGCATTACCCATATATATATATATATATATATATATATATATATATATATATACATATATATATATATAACTGAAAGTGTCATTTCTTTTAGAGGGATTTCCATTTAAATACTACGCAACATTGTTGGAAAAACTGACAAAAATATTAAATAAAACAAAAGCAAGTGTTAATCTTTAACTTACACACATGATCAAGTGGTGGGAAATTAAACTTGTGGAGGCAATTCAGAGAACTCCTTTGTTAGCCTACCGACTTCTTACTTTAGTAGGTCTATATTTGGCCGGATATACAATAATAACTCTATCTCGAAATTAAAGGAAAATAACCATGGATAATTGTCTGACTTAATTAGTTAACAAATTGCATAGTTAAAACATTGAATTGACTCGGTCAATTCAATTACTTTTTTTTATGTATCAGATATGTAAAACATCAATTAAATTATTATAAACCATGCTTTACTTTGACTTTTTCTGAATAATTTTGAAATAAGAATTGCACATTTCAATGTTAAAAAAGTAATTCATCGATTTTTTTACCTTTTTCTATTAATACAAAATAAAACGGGTTTAAGTAAAATTCCATTATTTGTTAAGCACTAAATAATTAATTATCAGAACATATTTCATTTCAAAAAAAAATTATTAGAACAGATTTTCTCATATTAATTAAGGAATGAATATATTAAGTATTGTGTTTGTAAATAATATGTGTATACATTTTTTCAATTTCTAGGAGACCCTAAAAAACTCTCAAACGTAACCCTAAAATTGCTAGGATTGGCCCTGCTATTAACATATGGTTAATTAACCTATATATAAATATTTATAGGTTATTATATATAGGTTAATTTATAGGTTAGCAAAATTCATAGCAAGCGATATTAGAGTAAATTGTTGCAAGCGATATATTAGAGAATTGATATTAGAGAATTAAATATTCAGGTTAATTTTAACTAAATTGTTGCAAGCGATATTAGAGAATTGATAGCTAATTTTAATAGCATTAGTTTCTCTCATGTTAGGTGATTTGTGAATCGCGTTGCTCATGTGTTAGCTAGAGTAGCGGGTTCCATGTCTGATTGACGAGTTTGGTTTGGTGTTCCCCTTCTTGTATTGTTACTGCTTTGGCACATGAATAATCTCAACTATCGACGGTCTTCCAATATTAATCCCACATATAAGTAATTCTAGAATAATCTCAATTATAATGGACATATTCTCAAAGCAATCTGGTGACCTGCATAAACCCATTATTACTCGTCTATCCCTTTCTTTTCTTAATCTTTTTTTTCCTTCATTTTTTCTTCCTTCGTCTTCCTCTCTTTGCATTGTTCTTTTCTTTTCACCATTTCCCACCCGTTTTCTTCTTTTCTCACCGGTAAGGTATACCTCTCACAGTCTCACAGATCTAGTAGGTTTTCATTTTCTTTTTTTCTTTTTCTTTTTTCTTTCCTCCTCTGTGGCATCTGCAGGATTTAATTTGAGGAATAGTTAAATTGGCAAATCCAATTCTACTTTCCCCTTACTCGAATTCAGCTTCGATCGAATTTCAGAAGCACAATATTTGCTTCTGTGTTAATGTTAGAAGCTCAACTCTAACTTTACTTTCTTAAGAAATTATCTTCTCTGCATTTCTTTTCTTTTCTTGGGGCTTGAGCTAAAGCGTTTCCAGCGGAGTACGAACAACAGCCCGTCCATGTTCCATGGTCGCCGTCCATACCATCTGTAGATCGTCGTCAGCCGTCCGTCCCAGTTGCTTTTCACCATCAATTTTCCATCCGACCTAGCTGTTCGTCGATTCATCACCGTTCAACGGTCTAATCCCATTGGTTCTTCTACGAGGGCCCTCCGTCCATCCCAACCTTTTTATCGTCAACACTCGTCCCTCTCATCCCAGCTAGTCGCCATCGCCGGTCGTCCGTCATCTCATCCCAGCTAGTCGCCATCGCCGCTCGTCAGTCATCTCGTCGCTTTTGTTCTTCACCGTCCCTGTGTTGTTGCTAGGGACTATTTATTTCATTTTTATTTTTACTTAGGTTTACAGGCTGAGTAAGTCATAGGTAAACCGGATCAATAAGGGAAGGATCATGTAAAATTGAGATTATTCTAGAATTACGTATATGTGGGATTAATATTGGAAGACAGTTAATAGTTGAGATTATTAGTTGAGATTATTAATGTGAATTTTTCCTTTTATTAATATGAGTTGATTGGGTTGCTTTAAAAAAAGCACAACAAAAAATAAAGCAATGAATCTGTCCCAATACTATATTCTTACTCTATTCGTAATTATCAATTCACTTTTGTTTAATAGGTGCATCACCTCCTCACTTAATTATATTACTCTAGTGATATTTCGTAATATTTCACTCATACTCCTTATTTTTTTTTATCATCACTCATACTCCTTATTAAATAATGTCTGCTAATATTAGATCAGAGTAAATTAAAGTAGCTTAATTAATTACCTCACCGATGGCGGAAGATGCTCCGGTGACGACGACGACCTTGTCCTCCATGATCTCCTCCCCAAAGAAGGCGCTCCAAAGCCACTCACCTGCGCTGATGAAAGTCAAAGCCGGCCACGCAAACGCCAGAATCACCAGGCTCGCCGGCGGCACAACCAAGTTCAGCACTGAATTCACCAAATCCATCACTCCGTACGTAATTAACAATTACGTAATATATATATACTTCAGTAGTAGATATATATATATATATATATATAGGTTGATTGAGCCTTTTCTTTTCGTTTTTTCCCCTCTTTCATCAACAGCCGGCCAGTTGAACGGAACGAAATAATTAATTTGTTGAAATTTTATAAAAGGGGGACAGTCAGATATTTGCATGGATTGTGCCTGAGTTGGCAATCTACGAAGCAAGTGTTGGTGTGTATGCAGGTGGCCACGTGTTGCTATTGCTCCTCCCTACATAACACGCGTGACCATAATATAGTGCAACAATATCCACATGGTACGTATGATGCCACCAATTTGATTCTTATTCTAAATTACTCCCTCCGTCCCAAAATCGTTGGCCAATGTTGACTTGCACGTGGATTAATAAAGTAAAAACTGTGTGGTTGAAATTTGTGCAGAGTAGAGAGAATTAACTTTAGCCACATATTCCTTACTTTAAATGGAAATGGCCAACCTTTTTTGGACGGCCAAAAAAGGAAATTTGGCCAACCATTTTGGGACGGAGGGAGTAGTGTAATCGTATGAAAAATTTAATACATATAGTTTATTTTCTACCACGTAAAAGGGTTAAAAATTCAAAACACAAGAAATTAACTTCAAGAAATTAACTGGGCAGTTTATATGTATGAACTGTCCATTTAACTTCAAGAAAATTATTTGAATGCCTTCCCGATCGAATTTTGAGCTGAAATTTGGTATTGATAAACTAACTAGACTTCATGAAGAACATGCTCAAAAAAATTCATCAAAAAATTCCATCGGGAAGTGCCCGAAATGCCCTCGGCCGGACGGCGGTTCCCGTCAGGCCGGCTGGACATGAAAAGTCCTCTATATATATATATATATAGAATTTGGTTCAAATAAAAAGTACTTCATAGGTGAAAAATAAGAACTAATCTTGGCTGTTGATGTGAAAAAATGGATGGAAGAGATCAATTTTTAAGTGGGAAACGCGGTGGCATTTGTGTAATTATGGAGAACTTTTTTTGAAAATATTGTGACAAATGTGTATCAGAATAGTCAAAAAGTGCACACGTAGAACACAAAAGTGCACTACGATATCAAATAAAAAGTGCACAAGTTTGAAATTTTTGACAATCTTTTTTACACGCGTGAGTGCACTTTTGGTTAGTAGCTGTCCACTTTATAGTATAAACATTTGCACATTTTTTGAAACCGTCTTTTATGTTTAAAGTTCATCTAATCCATCCATTTTCAAGTGATCAAAGGCCAAGATTTATTCTCACTTTTCATGGGAAGACTACTTTTTACTTGAACCCACCCTATGTATATATAGAGAGAATGAATCTGGTGAGAAGTCCGTTTGCGCTGAAAACTGAGAAGCAATAATAAACTTCCGATACAATTCATCCAACGGCAAGGCATCTTTTCGTATTTTATCAGTATTGACCTCTGCTCCAGATTCATTTCATCTCCCGATTAATAGTGTAGATTTATTATTATTTCTTATTGTGGAACTCCTTGTGTAATATTAACTCTTTTCTAGTATAAATATATCTGCTAGGGCTACCATTAAGGTTAAGCCTGGTATTATTTCTCACATGGTATCAGAGCCAATTTCTAAAATCCCTATTTTTTTTTCCGGCTACGATGACTTCTACGCCAACCTCTTCCGCCGCCGCTGAGTCCTCTGAGCCGGCCACAATTTCACCCACCGCCCAGATGACGTCGCCGACCTTCTCTTCGTCTCCAGCAACTCAGCCTCTATCTTCCGCTGCTTCAATCTCGCAGCAGGCCTCCAGTCTATCTTCTCAAACGATGGCTGCTTCAACAACTCTTCCATTCATGTCAATGGACCCTGTTATCTCTCAAACCTGGATGCCGCCTCCTCTTACGACGGAATTTAGCGCCTGGAATCCTCCCCTCTTTACTTGGACGCCGACACAGCCCTCAGTCCGTCCACCAGTGCAGCCCGTCCTCTCTACTGGCAGAAGTTTTCTTCCTCCCATGGAATCTGCCTCCAATTTTGCTGGTCCTACATTTGCAGGAGCACCAGGTATTGCACCACTCTCCTCTCCTAGGCCAATTGCTCCACGAAGTACTGCTGCCAACACCGGTTCTATTCTTAATGAATTAGTTAAGAGTATTGGATTTTCTGCCCTTAATATTACCAACGTTGTGACCACCAAATTAGCTGCGGTAGAGGATTACCAATATTGGCGTACTCAATTTGAGTCTTTTCTGCTCTCCAATGGGTTTTTGGGAATTTTAGATGGTTCGATTCCTGCTCCCCCTCCCTATATTTTTGATGCGTTTCATCTTGAGACAATTAATCCGGACTATTGTAATTGGTTAAAACTTGATCAAACGGTGCGTTCGTGGCTATTTGCCACTTTGTCTCGAGATGTCTTAATTGAGGTGCATGACTTAAAGAATGCTTCTGCTATTTGGAGTCGGTTAGAGTCTCATTTTATGTCTGCTAGTCTTGCCCGCTCCATGGAATTAAAACGCCAATTGACTACCTCTCGGAAGGGACCTAATCAGTCTATGGAGCATTATCTCAGAGACATTAAGATTATTGCTGATAACTTAGCTTCGATTAATGATCCTGTTGCTCCTCGTGAACTATTTAAAACTATTTTGATCGGTCTGGGACGAGACTATGAGTCTCTTATTACCTCAGTTGGTTTATTTCCGGAGAGCTTCACCTTTGAAAGACTACGCAACTGCTTGATTGAAAAGGAGCAAACTATACAGTATATGCGCACTCTAGAAGAGCCTCCCCAGGCCCAAGCATTTGCGGTCCAAGCTCAGGCTACCGGGCAGCCACCTCCCCACGGCGGGCAGCAGCAACGTGGGAGAGGTTATCGCGGTAGGGGCGGTCGTGGACAGCGGGGCAGAGGGGGCCGCGGACAGCGTGGCCGCGGTTATGCCCCACATCAGCATGGTTATGGCTTTCCTCCTCCGATGGGCTACGGCTACCCCCCTCCTGGCTATGTTCCAGGGGGTGCACCTCATGCGGGCATTCTTGGGGCTCCAGGCTCAGCAGGTATATCTGTTCAGTCACATGTTTATACTTATGCCTTATCTGCTTCTTGTACTAACCGTGGATATGCAGGCTCTTCATCTGTTGACGGGCACTCTGTTCCTCCTCCTGTAGTTTGTCAAATTTGTTATGCCCCAGGTCATCCCGCCTCTACTTGTCCGTCCCGTTTTGTTCAGCCGGCTGCACCTGCTCTCGCTGCTCAGGCTCCTGATGCTACTGACATTGTGTGGTATCCTGACTCAGGTGCCTCTGCTCATATGACTCCTCATCCAGGTATTTTGTCTAATAAAACCTTTTCTCCTAATTCTCATTCAATTATTGTAGCTAATGGTACTTCTCTTCCTGTTATGCATACCGGTGAGGTTGTTTTGAGTTCCTCTGCTCGTCCTCTTCGCCTAAAATCTGTTTTTCATGTGCCTAATATTAAATATAATCTTTTGTCCATTCAAAAATTATGTGCTGATAACAACTGTGTTGTAGTTTTTCTGTAAAGGACAAAACTACGGGGGCGGTTCTACTTCGAGCGGTCAGTGATAATGGTGTCTATCCTGTTCGTCAGCCTGCACCTCCACCTGTTGCCCTTTCTGCTGCTTCTGTTTCCCTTTGGCATAATAGATTAGGACATTGTGGTACTCGTGTTTTAGATCAACTTAGAATTAATAATTTAATTTCTGGCACTTCTGCTTCTATTTCTGATTGTATTCCTTGTCGTTTGGGAAAATCACAACGGTTACCTTTTAATAAAGTTTTTCACAACAGTCCGTGTGCTTTATATTTAATCCATTCTGATGTATGGCAATCTCCTGTGCTATCTCATCTTGGTTTTAAATATTATGTTTGTTTTGTGGATGATTTTTCTCGTTTTACATGGCTATATCCTATGCGGCGTAAGTCTGAGGTTACTACTCATTTTCATCATTTTAAATTAATGATTGAAAATTTACTTGACCGCAAAATTAAGATTTTTCAGAGTGATGGAGGGGGTGAATTTGATAATTTTCATATGCGGAATTTTTTTACTGATTCTGGAATTATTTTTCAAAAATCTTGTCCTGAAACTCCGCAGCAAAATGGCGTGGCTGAGCGCAAGCACCGTCATTTAATTGAACTAGCGCGAACCATGCTCATCACTGCCAATTTGCCCGCTCAGTTTTGGGTTGATGCTGTTCTCACTGCCACTTTTATTATTAATCGGTTACCTCTCCTACTCTACATGGTGTGTCTCCGTATGAAAAATTGTTTCTCTCTGCACCGGATTTATCTGGAATGCGTGTTTTTGGTTGTGCATGTTTTCCAAACTTTAATGCCACTTCTGCTAATAAACTTTCTCCACGGTCTGTTCAGTGTGTTTTTCTTGGTTATGCGTCTGAATATAAAGGTTATCGTTGTCTTGATCCTATTTCTGGTCGGGTTTATATTAGCAGAAATGTCCGATTTTTAGAAAATATTTTTCCATATTCTAAGTTGATTAGTGCTACACTGTCTCCGTCGAGTATGCCTTCTTACACCGCTCCTTTGGTTCCCCTACGTACCAGTGACCAGCCCCCATCCTCAAACCTGCAACTGCAATCCCATCCAGTTGACTCACTCCCAGATTTCCATGCACCCACTCCAACCTATAATCATGTTCCCAGCCCCTCTTCTACTCCCATTACCTTAGCAGACAGTCAATTACCTTCCACTACTCTGGCTGAGACTTTACTGGCCGACACACCACCATTCCCTACTTCACTGGCCGACAAATTAACAGTGCCTACCCCCTGGCCGAAACCACAACAGCCTCTACCTCTTTGACCGAAACCACAACAACCTCTACCTCTTTGACCGAAACCCCAGCAACCTCTACCTCCTTGGCCGACACCATCTCGACCAACACAGCAGCTCCCAATAGCTCCGCCCCGGTTGACAATATTCATCCAATGCAAACCCGGTCCAAATCCGGTATTTTTAAACCGAAACCTATTTTTAATTTAAACACAGTTGTTAGCACACCTGACCCTACTTGTTTTTCAATAGCTAATAAACATCTTAAGTGGGACTTAGAGGAATTCCTCTATGGCAGAGGAATTTAATGCTCTTATCTCTAATCATACATGGGACTTAGTACCATTTGATGCTAAAAAGAATGTGGTTGGGTCAAAATGGATTTATAAGACTAAGTATTTGGCTGATGGGTCTGTGGAACGCTACAAAGCACGGTTAGTTGCTCAGGGGTTTAATCAGCAGGCAGGTATTGATTTCACTGAAACATTTAGTCCTGTTGTTAAGCCCACTACTGTTCGTCTTGTTCTCACTTTAGCCGTGTCTTTTGGTTGGCCAATTCGCCAACTTGACGTTAAAAATGCTTTTCTTCATGGAAATTTAACTGAGGAAGTTTATATGCGTCAGCCTCCGGGTTTTGTTCATCCTCAGTTTCCTCACCATCTGTGTCGGCTTCGTAAAGCCATTTATGGACTTAAACAAGCACCTCGTGCTTGGTTTCATAGGTTTAGTAGTTTTCTTCTTTCTCATGGTTTTGCTTGTAGCCGGTCTGACAACTCTTTGTTTATTTTTCGGCGTAATTATGATATTATTTACCTGTTATTATATGTTGATGATATCATTGTTACAGGCAATTCTCTTAAGTTAGTCACTCATTTTTTATCTCTCTTAAATAAATGTTTTGCTATGAAGGACTTGGGAGACTTACATTTCTTCCTTGGCATTCATGCTCATCGTACTCCCTCTGGTCTGTTTCTTTCTCAGCAAAAATACATATCAGATCTTCTTCATCGGTTTCATTTACATACCTTAAAATCCGTGCGCTCACCACTTCCTAGTCGTACTAAACTTTCCCTTACTGATGGAGAGCTTCTCGCTGACGCCACAGAATACAGGAGTATGGTAGGTGCATTACAGTATTTGACTTTGACTCGACCAGATATTACTTTTGCTGTACACCTGGTTTCTCAATTTATGCATGCTCCACGCACTTCACATTTGTTGGCTGTTAAGCGTATTTTCAGGTATCTTCAGGGAACATCCACTCATGGTCTACTCTTACAGTCCTCACGCGGCTCTACAGAGGTCATTGCTTATTCTGATGCTGATTGGGCTGGATGTCCTGATACAGGCAGGTCTACTTCAGGCTATGCAATTTTTCTGGGGCCCAATCTTATATCTTGGCGGTCCAAAAAGCAGCCCACGGTCTCCCGCTCTTCCACGGAAGCTGAATATAGAGCCATTGCCTACACGGTTCAGGATACTCTTCACATACGATCTATTATGTTCGAGTTGGGGTTTGCTGTTCGTTTTCCGACTACTCTGTTCTGTGACAATGTATCTGCTTCATATCTGTCTGTTAATCCCATCCAACATGCCAGGAGTAAGCATATTAATATTGACTATCATTTTGTTCGTGAACGAGTAGCTCATGGTGATCTTCGTGTTAAGTATGTTCCGACACAGGCTCAGCTGGCAGATATTTTTACCAAGTGTTTGTCGCCACAACGTTTTATTCTTCTTCGTGACAATCTGCGCATTGTTTCCCCTGCACAGCTTGAGGGGTGTAATAGTGTAGATTTATTATTATTTCTTATTGTGGAACTCCTTGTGTAATATTAACTCTTTTCTAGTATAAATATATCTGCCAGGGCTACCATTAACGTTAAGCCTGGTATTATTTCTCACACCAATATCTTCTACTCATCTGTCTCCTTTGTTGTCTCTTACTCTACTCTGTTCTTGCATCTCACGCTCTCATTTCGATACTTCTCTCCGATCCCCTGCAGATCAATAAAATCGAAGATTAGTTATCAATTTCAACAAAATTTCTCATCAATAACACCTTATGAGTGTGGATCGAGCACAGACTCTAGCGATGTTTTTCCATTCTAAAAACTAAGGTTTGAATTATTCTACTCTATAACAATGCACTGAAGCTTCGATGTAGTTATTCGTGACCAAACTCTCTGAAATTGTGCATTATTTATCTTCAATTTGTGGTTTTTTCAATTTTATTCAATTTCAGATTTTGATTCGTATGTAATTTACAATTCAAACAATACTGTACGGTTCTGATAATATTTTGAAAGTTCTAATCTCTGAATTGGTCTCTTCTCTCACGTTCATACATTAGTTTATCAATTGTTATTGTTCTTTCTGTTAGCTTTCTATTCAATCTCATCACCACTCTTTATCACACCAAGTGTTTGATATTTTGCTTCAATAAATTAGTTTACTACAGATGTTCATGTTCTTAGAATGCAAGGTTAATTCTTAATAAAAAACAAATTCTATTTCACTCAATATCATTTTTTTGTTTAAAATCTCTCTGCTTAGATTTTTGTCCACTTCAATTCTTTTAAACTAAAATATCAGCTCTAATGCATATAATTATTAATAAAGGTTATCTCCTTTTATTTTAAAGTTATAAGAATGTAGGTAAACGTAATGTTTTAACATCTTTAAAATGGATATTGTAAAAACAGACTTAAATTCATACGTAGTAATACGGATGCGGTTGTAATTACACTTTTGAGCTCCTCTATATTAGCCATAATTAATGATAAATCAGGAGTTGTGTGTGAAAGTGCGGATAGTCATTATGTTTAAAGATATCAATTTTACATTAGAAGTAATTAGTTTCTCCCTAAGCATTTTCAATTTCAATTTGTAGCACCTCAACTGCTATGTGAAAATGTTTTGATGTACTTCCAAAATTGATGATATGGTGGTAATAAATTGAGTGATTATTCTGTAGTCAATATGGCTCTCTATGGTTTCTAGGGTTGTTTTTTATACAAGTAGACCTAATCAACTAGTAGTTATGTTTATGATGAGGGTACTTAAGAAACATGATGGGATGTGTTGTTTCTAATGATTTTACTTGAGGTAATATTATATTTTCCTCTTTTATCAGTCTGGCTTTGTTTTCATTTAACTTGGCTAACTACAAGTTACTGTTTATTTCTTAGAAGTTAGTATTGTAGCTCTATTAGTAACTGTTTAGTGTTTTTATGTTGTTAGTCTTATTTATATTTTCTGGTCTGCCATGGTAGTGATGGTATGTTTCTATTTTGGGACCACATCTTTACTATTCTTCTTCTTATGTTAGCCTTCTTGTTCTAAATGTTACCCTTCTTGTTCTCAAAGTTAGGTAATGTAAATTTAATTGGAAAAAATGAATTTCATATGAGTGACTCTACGAATTCGTGTTAAATCTACATTAACTAAATTGCAAACTCTTAGAGTGTTGGTTTGTGTAGTAAAAGTGATATCTTTTCAAGTAAAAGTTAGAGTAACTTTAATAAAAGTTATTTCATAAAATCAGGATTATCATTGAATTTAGCTAACTAGAGTACAAAAAATATGACTCTCTTATGGTGTTATGTTCGCTTAAAAGAATGAATTATAAATTTATAACCCAAAACTCATAATTCAAAGCAATATGTTCAAAGTTATGAAATTTGCCTTATTAGTTACATATTTTTAAATATTTGTTAAAGTTGTTTGATTAGTCTTGAATATGGGTTATAGAAAGTGTGAATTTTTTTATTTGTTTGCAAAATGTTCAAAATTAAAAGTTATGCTTTCAGTTTTAAAAGTTATAAATTTTCACCTAGTAGTGATGTTTTTTAGTTTAGAAGTTACATAGGTTTACAGCTCTATAATTTTTCTTTTATTAAGGATAATAATAGTTATTGTTATCATTGTTGTTGTTTTTGTTGTAGGGAATCTCTATTCTGTATTCAAATATGTTTCCTATTGATTTTGATGTATGCAACTTATGTGAGTATAAAGTTATGTAGATAGTTATAGAAGTTATGGTTTTGGCTCTATTAGTTATTAACATTTGGGTACGGTTTTTATCTTCATAGTAGCAGATCAAAGACAACTTTGTGACAGTAAATGAGGCCAGTGCAGCTTGGAATGAAGTCATTTTGGATGTTGGTCTTGAACTGGGGTATAAAAGTCAACTACAGAACCCACAAATAAGTTATTGACATACAAAACACAGTTGAAGAAAAGAAGGAAATGAGAAAGGGCAAATAATAAAGAGGTCGTGGTGTTAGAAAGCAGAAAATTCATTTATCAATTACATGTTTTTTGTTCCAAATTTGAATGTAATGCATTGAAAGTTTTCTAGATAGAGTTTGTTTTAGGTGTTATCGGAATAAATTTTCAACTATTACGACAAAGACACAAATTATATATGAATACTTGTTTATCTTGTATTACTTACATTGCACAAAAAGTTGCACTCTTCAACTTTAAGAAGAAAAAGGTGATTACAATTTCTATTATTGACGATTTGGCAATTACTGTGGTCTTTTGAATGTTTTTTTTAGTTTTTTCAACGTTATTCCCATTGCAAATTTGCAGCTATGACTTAAATTAGATGTTTGCCCATAAACAGAAGAATCATTTGCTTCACTTGTAACTACCACAAAAGGTATCCTTTAATTAAGTGGCCAGCTAAACAAAGTAGAAACCAAATGGGGAATATTTCTAAAACATATGCCAAGGTAAAGTAAAATCAACGCAAAAAAAAAGATCATAAGAGCTTCAACCAATTCGAAAAGCATATAAGCAGTCCATAGCTAACTAATCTAAACAATAATAGCTTATCTCCATTTAAGTATATTAATCTCATAGCACCACCTCCGACCAATAAAACTCAGATCATTCACCCAATCGGAACTTGAGAATATCCATATAACTTTTAACGTAAAATGTATAACTTATAACAAAAAAAATGATAACTTCTTATTTAAAAATGAAATAGACTCACATAACTTTCTTTAAGAAAGTGATTAACAACCAAATCCAATACAAAATGGCTTGAAGTATATGCAATTCTGCTCTACGGAAGGCAAAACAAAAGAATAATACTAACAAGCCAACCAACAAAGTTCAAATTTTCTGTGAGGGGACACTCAGGAAACACAAGCTTTAAGAAAAGAGCCCCTCCCATACATTGGATCGATCTGCATTTTTGCATTGTCAAAGTTAAATGTCCTTAAGTCTTCTATATCACAAAAGCCTTTGGTGTATTTGCCATACTTTCCTTCGGTTCCTTTGCTTCTAGTTCCCTCAAAAGCGAGTTCCCATATGTTCCTGCATATCAAATAAGCAATACCCAAAAAGAAAACACCATTACTAAAGAATTAAGAAGTTGACTGCTAGGTAGTATCTGATGAACGAATTATGAGTGTTGTACAACAATAGCAGACAAAAAGCCTTAGGTTTCTTAATGAGAGAAATTCAGCAGTGAAAAAAATCAAAGGATAAATAAATTTAGAAAAAGAGAATGCTCTCCTAGACCGAACACGAACCAGAAAACATTATAGCTTGATTATCAGTTCTAATGGAGTTAAAATCAACACCCTGCAATTGCTAAGCCAATTTGACCCTTTCTTGAAAGAATTTACTATATCAAAAAGGAAAACCACACCAACACATTATATTTAATATTATCTAACTTTTAGAGCAAGACGCTTAACTTTTAGAGTAAAATTTCCCACCCCACAAAAAGATTCTACAGAGAGCCGCCACCCGGTTGAGTACAGTTTGAGGAAAAGGGAAGGCCTGCAACCAAAAGGATTGAACTCCTTGAAGGACAGCTCTTATAAGCTCCAGCTTATAACATATTTCAATAAGAAATTTGTCTATGTGCTTCATTTGTTATTCATCAAAACACATAGTATATTCTACTCTCTAATGAAGCTCATTATCATTTACACATTTTAACAAACACTTGATAAGCATCACACAAATTCGTTCTTTATTAAGAAATTCTCAATAAATGCTAGGCTACAATTGATTATCTTTTACCAATGTGCAGTCAAATATACACATTCGATTAAAATATTACAACAAAATAAACAAGGAAAATTTAAGGAACAAAACTTTTACTATAAAGATATCAATTCAATCGGAAAATATCATATCAATTTTGGATTCACAAAAAACAAAAGTGAATATCAGGTAAAATTAATTCCCATAACCTAAGATCAAACAAGAAAATCCTCCCAATTCTTAATTTTGGACAGAGTGAGAGAAGCTTCAAATTGAAAACAAAAACAAGTTGATTTGGAGCTTCGCTCATCGTTAGCTAGTTGTCCTTTTCACTAAAACATCGGTCTTGTACGGCGTTGTGCTCACCAGGCTTTGGATGATAGACTTTCACTTCATCAATGGTGTTTCTTCGTGAAATTTCCGCACGAGCTTCTTTCGCTGCCGATCTTCATCTTCACAAAAGCTTCTTTCGCTGCCAGTCTTCCTCGATCGGGGGCTATTCGTGTATGGCGCACTCGATCAGAAATAACTCACCGCTGCTGTCACGGTATGTTATAGATGAAGCTTGAGTAATAATCCATCCATCGCAGATAGTGTAGTGGAAAAATAGATTTAGCAGCGGCGGAAAGCCGGAAACTAGTGAAAAAGAATAAAAGGACTTCTCATGGAGGACTCACGTTGCTTTTAATTACAAAATTGTCATTTGTGACGAGCAGATATATGGGCTGATCGCACGGTCCAGAATGCTTCTCACTTTTCAGCCTAATTAGGACTTGTCATGGATCTTTTCTCTATATATAAATATATATATAAAATCTCAAAGTTTATAAAAAGCCTTGAAAATATACGATGCTAACGGCTGGGCACCATTTTAGAGTCCGAAACTCTCTCTTTTCTTTTCTCTTTCTTACCTTGCTGGAGGAATGCTGATCAGTAATCTTGTGATTAATAAACATAGTTTCCTAGCACCATTTACTATTTTTGTTTTTATTTTGTTTTTTTTTGTAAGATTTTGTTTTTGATTTCTAACAAAATAGACTTGCAGATTGTCAGCAGAAACTTTCTTTTCCCCATTTTATTTATACAGCAGTTGAATTCTCAAGAAAAGTAAAATCCTTTTTTGTCCCCACATTTGGAACCCTCGCCACCTTGACCAGAGTGCTCCTGCATCAATCCAGGAAACCAAAAACATATGAGTATAGGAAAAATATACCCTTTTGCGTATATATAATTTTCCGTTTCTTACATGCTGGAAATATTATATCATATATAATTGTGATGCCGAGTTTCTGGTCTGGGGTTTTCGAGTTTTAATCTTTTGGGGTCTACATTGTTTAAAATTCTTGAAAATTTATCTGTTCTAAGATCTTTTGAACTGGGTCATTTAGTTGTTAGATTTCTTGATTTTCTTAGAGTTTGTGTCATCTCTGTTTGAACCTCCAAACAATCTTTTGGAGTTTATGTTCTTCGGCACATTCGGGATATAGGTCCTTCAGAAGAATTATTATTTGGGTGATATTTGAGTGTAATTCTCTCCTTATAAATATTGAGAAAGTTGAGAATTAATTAAGGTCTTAAATATTTTGAAAGTGGGTCTGCATCAGAACACGACATTGCAAATTGAATGGTTTGTAAAAGCTGATTATGTGTACTTCATCCATTTTGGAAAACAAGTTGTTCACAACACCATGGGCAGCATTTGTTCCAAGGGATCAGAAGCTGCTAATTATATCACAGCTACTGATAATGCAAATAAAGGAAAAGAGTTAACAAAGTCTTCTGTACAGACAGTTGCTCCCTCATGCCGGGAGGTGGTTAAATTGGACCTCACTAATACTACAAAAGATGGCTCTGGACATCCCCACCCAAAGCGAGAACCTGAAAGAAACACAACCTCAGTTCCTGTGCTAAAAGTCGAGAATGACGGGAAAACGAGAATTATTGAGAGGCCAAAAAATGGCCACAGGAGGCGATCAACCGTAGATCTTGGGATTAGCGGGGTATCAAATTCAGTTTCTAGGATAGTGAGCATGCCACACGGCGCAAAGGGAGAACAGGCTGCTGCTGGGTGGCCAACCTGGCTAAGTTCAGTTGCTGCCGAGGCCATCCAAGGGTGGCTTCCTCGAAGTGCAGAATCATATGAAAAAATATGCAAAGTGAGCTCCTAACTTCTTCGGCTCTTTTATTGTTTCTTGATTCAATTCTATGCATGAACTAATACATAAAAGTTCGATTTTATACTGCTTTATATATTTTTGAAATGAGTGGGTTAACATCAACTTGTGTTTTTATCTTTCTTTTTGAGTTTCTATTATGATTTAGACTCCGTCTTACAAGGTCATCTTTATACGAGAAGTAACCTAAAATCTCATACGAGTTTGTATCTTTATTTTGCAAATCTTGAAATCTTTGCTCTCTTTTGAGTCTTGCTTATCCGAGCCTTAATATGTGAGTTTTTACTTTCAGGCTGTACCTGTGAGGGATAAATTTACAGTTTGAATCGTTGTTGTCCATCTGTAGTTCCGATAGTTCAAGTTCTTGAATGGATGAAGAACCAATAAAAAGAATTATTAGATCATATTTCAAACACAAAACCATGAAAACGTACTTTTCCGTAGTGAGCATTTTATTGAAAATGATCATGATCTCCTGATATACAAAGTATGAATAAGATACTTTCCAGAATCAAATTTGTGGGTATTAAAAAAAAGACTCTTCGTTTTTTACAACAATCTGACATTGCAGATTGGGCAAGGGACATATAGCAGTGTTTACAAGGCCAGAGACCTGAAAAACAATAAAATTGTGGCAATGAAGAAGGTAAGGTTTGTGAATATGGATGCAGAAAGTGTCCGCTTCATGGCGAGGGAAATATGCATCTTGCGTAGACTGGACCACCCAAATGTCATGAAACTTGAGGCTGTTGTGACATCAAGGGTATCAGAGAGCTTATATCTGGTTTTCGAGTACATGGAGCATGACCTTGCTGGGCTTGAGTCATTGCCAGGTGTCAACTTCACCGAACCGCAGATTAAATGCTATGTGCAACAACTATTTTCTGGATTGGATCACTGTCATAGTCGTGGTGTGCTTCACCGAGACATCAAGGGCTCAAATCTTCTAATCAATGACAATGGTGTTCTGAAGATTGGAGACCTTGGACTGGCCACCACCTTTCATCCTGATAAAAAAGAGCCTTTGACAAGTCGAGTTGCAACTCTGTGGTATAGAGCTCCTGAACTTTTGCTAGGTGCAACAGATTATGGAGTGGCCATTGATATGTGGAGTGCAGGTTGCATCCTTGCAGAACTATTTGCAGGCAAACCTATCATGCCTGGAAGAACAGAGGTCCCCCTATCCTCTTCTTCCCATATTTCATATGTAAATGTAATACACAATTTTATTTATAAAAAAGATTAAGTTCCAGGTGGAGCAAATGCATAAAATCTTCAAGCTTTGTGGGTCTCCATCAGAGGAGTACTGGCGGAGAACAAAATTTCCTCACGCCACTAGTTTTAAACCACAGCAGCCGTACAAGCGATGTGTGAATGACACCTTCAAGGACTTCCCACCTTCAGCATTAGCTCTTGTTGATACCTTACTTTCTATAGAACCCGAGAAGCGCGGAACTGCTGCTTCTGCACTAAACAGCGAGGTATTCTGTAATGTCTCCAATTTTTTTCATTTCCTTCTGCAATTCGTATATCATCACTCTTTCTTGATTCCTAAACAACTGCACCTTTTCATATTTGGAAATGTGTTAGGTTCAAAGCATGTACATGTGAATATTAACCAGTGAGTGTAGACAATTAAAATGGCCATCAATCTGTACACTTGAATCTACAAACTTATCTTTTGTATTTGCTTTTCACGATAAGACGATAATTTCAAATTCTATCTGATTACTGAAACGACCATTCTGTATGCTATCAATTGGCAAAATAAACTTAAAAGGAAAAGTATAATCTTCTAAACATAATTACATGTGATTTTATTGCTAAACAGTTGCTATGCATTGTTTCCTGATAAACTGATTCATAACTGATTCTTTTAACTCCAGTTTTTCACAACAAAACCCCTACCCTGTGATCTATCAACTTTACCCAAATATTCACCAAGTAAGGAACTTGACTCAAAAGTTCGAGACGAAGAAAGAAGGTATGCTATGTTTTTTGTTCATCATATCAGTTGTTTATTTTCCGTTGTCATTTCTCTCCTTGCATTATCAAATACAAGTAATATGTTTATTATATATGCTTCTGGGTAGTGTGAATGAATGTGTGATGGGAGTTATCAACTCATTAGGCCATTGAAATTGTACTACTCAGTACTCCCTCCGTCCCATTTATATTGTCCCGGAAGAGGGTGGCACGGTTATTAAGAAAAGTGGGTTTGTGTGGTTGATATTAATTGATAAAGTAAGAATAAAGTAAGAATGATTTAGAGCCACACAAACTTTGCCAAATATGGTATGGGACAATATAAGTGGGACTTCCCGAAAAGGTAAAACGGGACAAAATAAATGGGACGGAGGGAGTAATTACTAAACATTTATATACCTGAAACCTCACAAGTAGATTCCGTTAATGCAATATGCAGGAGAAAAGCTGAAAGCGTGAAAGGGCGTCGAGGTGAATCTACAAAGAAGAATGCAAGGGACCCAAACGGACCACCTGCAGAATTCAGTGCTCAAGGACAGGTTTATGTTCATAAAGTGTTTATTTGTTGTTTAAACTGTTCTTAGGCCGTGTTTGGTTTGGGGATTTCAGAGGGGAGGGAAAGGGATTGATGATATTTATTTTTTTGATAATCTCTACATTTTGATGGTGGGAAATATAATGAACTAAATAGATACACATCATTTACCTAATCATATATGGTGTAGTTTTTATACTCTAAAACTAACAAATATAGATAAATTAGCCAAACTGTAAAATCAAAATCACAAATGCCCTTTCCTTCCATCCAAAATCCCCAAACATTACAAGCCCTTAGTCCTACTGTTCGACATAACTGAGAAAAGATTCTGCAGGGACGATCTAATAGAAGTGCAAGCGTGAAGTACAACCCACTGGAGGACAGTGGGGCAGGAGGGTTCCATATGGAACAACCCGCAGCAGTAAAATATAGGAATGGCATCACCCATTCTAATTCGGTGATCCATCCAAATATGTCTGGTTATGCCAGGGAGGGTCACAAAGTAAGGGATGGTGACGGAGGTAAAACAGTTCATGGGCAAACCTTCGATTCTTCCCATCATGGTGAAGACCTTCTAAGAGATGGATCTCAAAAGAGGCGACAAGTTAATGTGTTGTTAAGTACTTCGAGAGATGAAAGATTATCTGACCAGGACCCCGCCACAGTAAGTTCTTAAAATAGTTTTCACTTTCTTGCAATGAAAGAGTCCCCATCCTGCAGTAATTTATTTACATTTATTATTAATGATAAATTCATTGAACTTTCAGGTTTATGTTCCGAGAAGAAGTAGAATTCTTTGCTCTGGGCCATTGGTGCCTCCCGGAGGAAACATGGAAGACATGCTGAGGGAACATGAGAGGCAAATTCAAGACGCAGTTCGCAAAGCCAGGACCAAAAGGAACTGCTACTACGATTAATAACTCAACCTTATGATCATCTGAAGGTGTCCAGCTTCAATTGAGGTCACTCAGAGTCTTGATATCCAGAAGGGCAAGACTGGTCTGGGTTCAGGTGCCAACATTGTTTGTATTTGGATTACTATAATGGGAGAGACTTACGAAAATCTGTATAGAGAGTAGGGATGGGTAAACTATGCCTATAAGTTGGGGATGTTTGCTCGTCCATACTGTTTATACATGCATATATACACGCTATGTACCTATTTAATTTGGTCCAACGGCAGTCTGGGAAATGGAAGTTCACTTGCAGGCCTTTGTTACCTGCCTTTCCAAAAGTTTGATTTTGTCATGAAGAAAAAGATATAAAATCGGGTGTTGTGATGGCAACTCAATGAGGCATGGCATCAGCAAACCACCTTGTTGACTAGTAGCTGAATACAATATTTAATATGGTATATTATAAAATGTAAATAGATAATTTTCTAATCTATCATATAAAAGTATTAATAGATATATATTTCCAATCATTTAGGGTATACAACTTCACCAAAAATCTCTGATGTGTAATTCATGTGATTGCTGTCTAAAGAAACAAAAAAAAGGTCATAAAGAAAAAAGTCAACTACAAAGATAAATAAAGAAACAAAAACAAACAGAGGGAAGAAAAATTTAAGAAAGAGAAGGAAAAAGTTGGTAGTTTTTTTCTCTTCATTCCTTTTAGTATTTTTCATTTTTTAAGTTTGGTAATGCTATTTAAAATTTAAATTAGGCGAAAAAAGGTAAGGTAATAATGGCAAAACGAATTTGGCAAAAACAGACAATTCTGATTTCTGAGCATCATTATGAACGCCGAATTGAAGGCTAAGCAACCACTCAATTTCTAGTGTTCGACAGTCTCAGGCAAGCAGCCATGCTGAACAATTTCCACCGTCTGAATACCAAAGGTCACCTAGACAACACCATGGCAACCATGGTCATGTCCTAACTACTGTCCCATGAGTTCTTTCAATTACAAGTGAAAATAACAAGACCTTTTCACACAAAACCACTCTAAAGTGTTTGTCTCATATAACAGGACACGAAGACCGAGCCATAATCTCAAATTCATTGGCTACATCCTCTATGACAGCAGAAAGGCTAGTAAGAGCAGTAATGGGCGACCCATCATCAACGTAACTAGATCTCTATTACTGCTCAATACAAAATCAGAGATATGTGAAAACTACATAACATAATATTATTCTCAAAAAAGTGTAACAAACAGGGGTGCACTATTAACCTTATTTAGAGACAGATGTTAACATTATGTACATTGCATTTCAGAACGAAGTTATTACAAAAAGTCTAACCCCAATAACCCCACAAAGTTATTAATTATTATTACTATTATTATTATCAATAATAGAAAAAAGTCTAACCCCACTAATGACTGGGCCATCAAATGTCTTTCCTAGGCTTGCGACTTATCTCAGAGTAATCGCCACCCATCAACTGTAAAATCTCTTCCCACAAACTCTCAGAAGGAGAGCTCCCAAATATCAAATTTGCACTACATGCAGCAACACACCAATAACCCAATTCAAGCTCTTCCATCAATTGGTCTAACTGCCACCCTGCATACCCTAAGAAGAATCTAAAATTTTGAGGTTTAAGCTCCCCTTTCTTTACTAGAGCAGATGCTTCTTCCAGACAGTTTCGAGAACCAAAGGACACGCCAGGAATCACCTCATTAAATCCCTGAATACGCTCATAGTTTCCTTCTGCTCTTAACAAGATCATACTTGCATCAAGAGGCCCGCCAAAATGCAAGGAGCAGTCAGAAAAAGTGGTTGCCAAGTCAAGATTTGTGGGCTTCATGTGTTTCATCTTTTTTCCAAGTGGGCGATTTATGATCAGGCCAAAGGGCCCCTCTTGGGGACGATTAGTTCCAGTTCTCAGAAGAAGAACTACTGTTCTCTCAAAGCTGCGGACGCTATCAAGCTTTTCGGTAGAAACAAGGAGGCAACCATTCTCAGGGGCTGCAATGGGGTGTGCCCACTTTGGAGGTAGAGATTTAAAGCCAAATGCAGTTCCATCGCGCTTTTGAGGGTCAGAGATGGCAATGGCAGCCTGATATTAAAGAATTGGACAGATTAGAACAATGACCTGTTGTTTTACCATAAAAACTTAACTGTCCAGTTTTTTTGTTTTCTTCCAATCAAGAGTACAAAACTTCCACTCCCCTAATGGCCCAAATGTCATGAATTGTGACATATTCAAAATTAGCCAACGGTGCTAGTGTACTAGAGATAACAAAAACGCTTCTAGCCCCCAGCATGGCATATCATTTGATGGAGGATAAAGAGGTATCTGTAGGAGAATATAGAAAAAATGCTCCATTTTAATAAGAAAATGTTTGATTGAAGATTTATTATTACAAATATAAAGTAGCTATCCTATTCTTATTCCTGACAATGGAACCCCCCGTAGGGGGGACTTGGTTAAAAAAGGGAAACTAATTACCTATAACTGCAGGAGTTCAGGTTCAGCTGACTTGACCCACATATAATGGAGAGACAGGATTTGATACGGACTTAAAAGGATGAGAACCAGAAAAATTGATTTTGATGATTTCTTTTTCACATGACGCTTCAGTTCAGCAACTACAGGCAAACTGTTCTAGTAATCATCAGATGAACAAGTATTCAGCAGAATAATGTCTTGCCTTGGAATTGTTCCTTCAGTCAAAACCCCTTTAAAGTATAAAAATAAACATTTTTCTTTTAATGGTTGATGAAACTTATTCCCTAATGTAAGGCAGAGGTTGTTTGGGCCTTAAGAGCCTTACTTGGAGGTAGGCCAAATGTACACAATCCACTACATATAAATAAAAAAGGCTAAGAGTTATCAGTACACGAACACATGAACCACATGGTAGACCATGTGTGTCTTAGTTAACAATAAGGAATTTTTTTAGCAGAAGATAAATTAAATAGGAGTCACATCTATTATTCTCATATGTCAAGGGCTATGTTTGAAGAAGTGAAAACGGAAAATTCATAAGCATTCAACTAAACAGTGTACTAAAAGAGATAATACCTGCTCCTGAATATAAAGAGAAGCTCTAAAATCTCTCCAGTCAATGGACTTGTGATAGGAATTCTGGCCACCATCACGTTTGGTGTTGTTTTCGGAAAAAGGATTGATTTCATTAGAACCATTATCTTCTGCGAACGAATCGTCATGCTTACCTTCATTTTAAGAAGCATTGTACACTTGATTAGAGGCTATATACATTTTTATTACATCACAAACACTGGAGACTGAAGATAAAGTATGAAGAATTTATAGGAATTATAGCACAACACAGAAATGATATGCTTCTTCTAAGGTTGGATGAGAAATGATCTCTTTTCTCTCTCATTCTCTTTTATCCTTTATCTTCTTTATCTTTCTATGTTGATTGTTATCCTTTTCTTTTATCTTTCATATGCTCTTTTATCTTTTTATATTTTGTCTTTCTTGGGTTCTTATGGTATTTGATCCTATATTATCTTTATCTTATCCATTTTATCTTACTTTATCTTTTTTTCTTCTTATCTATCTTCTTTTGGCTCTGATATCATGGATGGATTCATATTAGCAGACCCCGAAATCTTTTGGTAATAAAGCTTGGATGTTATTGTTGTATTGCGAAGCACAGACTGAATTTTTAAGCATTCTGGAATATGAAGTCCAGCATCACTCATTTAAAAAGAGCTGGACTCAGATATCTTTACGAGTGTCTACTTCCATGTTTCTTTTTATTTTTTCAATGTGGAACGCCACATTATGCATCAAAGCAGCTTCGTGTACACACCAGTTGTGTACACGCCACCAGTTGTGTCCCAGGCATTTTATGTCATTTTTGATAATGTGATGTCTGTGACACCGATGAAAATAAATTTGTTTGTGTCACACACAAAATTGTTTCTCAAATTTTGTCAGTGTCACCGACAATTTGTCATGAAAATGTCTGACACAAACAAAAATGGGGTGTGTACATGTTGTGTACGCATCCGGCATGTACAAAATGACTTTTTCATTATGCATTTCAATCCTTCTTCCTTACAAATTGTTCATTCTCTCTCACTAGTTCTACTCAACCTATTAAGTAATTTATACTACGTATGCTAGACCCTAGAGGCTCTATCTCTCAACTGGAGTAGCACAAAGTGATGTGCCTTAGGGTGTAAAATCAAAGACCCAAAAGTACTAATATTTCTTCACTTATGTTTTTCCTGAAAATTGCAATTATATGAGTATAAAATATTAGGATTATAATTAGGCTATGTTTGGTAGGATGTAATCAATCATGTATTGTAATGAGCATTTTTACGTTAGCATTGCATTACACCAAACCAAACATAGTTTTATTAAAGATTAATAACAGATATATCCCGCACTTCATAGCCATTTCACTTCCAAGACAAAGGCGAAATGAGATCCAATTACACGAGATAAGGTATCCTTATAAATCCAAATCATTGAATAAAAATTCCTAAAATATTGTCTGCGAAATTCGTAAATTGAAAAACTCAAAGTAGCAAAATGCAGCTCACAAATGTTCACTTTAAGTAGTCCAAAAGAAATGTAAGAAATTGAAGAAATTGAACACACCCGAAGAAGATAAATCAGGATTAAAACTCCTTGTATTTTTCTTACCCGTCGCTCTGATAACAAACGATCTCGAGAACCCGGATGGGGAGAAGGCACCGCCTTTTGGCAATTTGATACGGAAAATCTCCGAACTCTCGACCCGATATGATGACACGGAAAGTAAACCAGTAGCCACGACCATGTTCTTCAGGTACCCAGAAACAATGGGTTTCTCAGTAATCGAGCTTTTCAACACCATAAAACGCAATTTTCCGGTACAATTGGATTGTATTGCTCCTGGAAGATCCATTTTTATTAAAGTGAAGAACAGAAAAATGTGATCAGTCTCACAGTTGGGCTGTTGGGCGGAGCTGAGTAAAACTCCGCATAAGTGAATATCAATAAACCGAGATTGATTCGTGAGACTCACCCTTAATGATGCTGGCAATGGGTCGCCTCAACCGCTTCTACGGTTCTACCGGGAAAACTTTTATTTTTGTAAGAGAGGTACCGATGCTAAACACTAATCAAGTAATTTGTGCTTGATTCGCGATTTGAATTTGTATAAGATGATTCAAATTAGGAAAATTCAAATACAATACAAATATGAATTTAAATTTGATTCCATTTGTTATCAAATACAAATAAGAATATCAGTGTATTCGATTCGAATATTAATCAAATATATTCAATTAATAATAGTGATATTAATAATAATAATAATAATAATAGTAATAACACTATAATAACTTTAAAAAGATAGCAATACCCTAAAGTGTAGTTCATATATACATTTACGCATACAGATTCTAAGTCCATTTGTAATAAATTAGAGTATAAATATGAATACAAATTGGATTTTTGGTTCATATGTCCATTTTTTGAGTAAATTGTATGCAACCTCTTATTGGCATAGTGTTTTTAATATATTCATGGATTATGTGCATCTTAATGATATAAATGGATATTTACTTTGCATTTATTTGTAAACTATCTCATATATGTATCCTTATGCTTTATTCAATGTTTCAAACATGGAACAATTCTTAGCACCGAAAAAGAGTTTGATGAATGAAAATGAATTCTCACTCACACGGATAATAGTATATGTGTTTTGGAGGTGAAGATTATATCCGGAAAAAATATTGGTTTCACAATCATCATTGATCCTGTCATTTACCTTGACTTCTTTCAAATTTTTACACAAAAAGTTCCCAATCAGCGTTTCATTTCCCATGAGTCCATGACATAAACAACAGTCAATAATAATGTGTATACAAGTGGGCAGTGGCAAAGCCAGGGTTGACATGTTATAGGGGCTGAAGATTAAGGAATTTATATAGCAGAGGCCAAAACTTAATTTTTCACTATATTTTTTACTACTTATAAATATTTATACACATCACAAATTTTTTCTTGCAGGGGCCGAGGCCACCGCCAGCCTCCCCCTGTCTCCACCCCATCAAGTGGGCATATACCCAAAATGCATTCTTATGCATGATCAATTGTATGTTGTCGTGTAAATTGCCACCTTAACGGGTGGGTTAGAGATTCATAAGTTTGATGACAAGGTTTGGGTTATCAACCCCAGTGGCATATAATGTATTTTTTAAAAAAATTATGATAAATTTTTAACATTATCAAGATATATGATTACTTTTTTTATACAATTTTATGTGACTCACTAATAATTGTACTACAGTGTTATTTTATTGTAATAGAGCTTATTCTTACACTTTATCATTAATTTTAACTTTACTTGTGATTTTCATACTGTCCAAATTTTTATTTCCTTACAAGTTCTATATTATAATCAAATTTACAATAAATAAAACCTAATATCTTTTTTTATTTACCAAAATGATATATTATGTACCATCTTAATAAAATATAATTTTAAATAATATGTTACTGTATCATATTCTAGATATACCCCGTGCATCGCACGGGTACTTCGTCTAGTAAAGATGAATAATAACAAAAGTCTGCCATTTCAAATGGTTCCACAATAGGGCTGGGACCGGTTCAGTTCTTACTCAAAATGAGTGGAACCGTTATAAAAGTTTTAACTAATGAAATCGGTTCGGTTCCTATAAAAAAAAATCAAGAACCGTTATGGAACCGAACCGGTAGTAAACGGTTCGGTTCTTCCTTTTACCGGTTCCTAGAATAATTTTTTATCGTCTAAGAATTAACACATAATTTTAAACACGTTGAAAATTTAAAACACGAGTATTAAAATTTTATTTGAAGCTCTAATCACTTCAAACATCAAAGCTCAAACTTAACTAATGAACTTTGAACACTTAATAGAACAAAAGTGATTTAAATTTTCATGTAATAAATAAAACATTAAAAATCGTTGTAGTGTCGGAGCGATAAGGTTACTCGTCATCATAGTAGCTAGAATAGGACGCCTACTTCAAGTCTTTCATAACATAAAAAAAAGACATTGAGTTTGCATGTATAGATATAAAAAACATTATTACATTCTATTGATTCATAATAAATCTAATTATTAGAAATATCATGAAAATAGTAAAGTAAAATATGTGCAATCAAAGTTACAAGTCATTTGGGTTATTTTATATTTATAAAATTTATGTGATGGAACAAAACTTGATTTATAGAAAGGAGTTTAATGTATCATATCAACCTCATGTACAATATTTATTACTTCTTTTCCGTTGATTAAATTAGAATTGTTAGTTACATATCTTATAGATGTCCCTCTGGTGTCGTTGACAAAAAAAAGTTAAATATCTTATATTGTTTTATTATTGTTGTTGTTGTGGTTATTATTGCTATTATATTATTATTATTGTTACTACTAATACTAATATTATTTTATTTTTTATTTTTTTAAATAATGGTTCCTTAACGGTTCCATGCACATATTTTTTATAGGAACCGAACCGTTATAATCCGGTTCGGTTCGGTTCCTACAAATGAGGCATTAATTGTTAACGGTTCGATTCCTAGATGTTGTTAACGGTTCGGTTCCAATCGGTTCTACGGTTCCCGGTTCCAAAATCCCACCCCTATTCCACAATGCCATGGGATAAGAAAAAGCTACAAAAGATTCAAACTTTTTACCCATACTAATTAAATAGAAAATATACTTATATAGTATGAAATCTTAAAATAAAACATGCAAAGACTAAGTAACCTAAACTATTGATCAACTTCATTAAAGATAGATGCCACCAATACCATTACTTTGCTTAAGCTCAGTCCAATAATGCATTGCTTTTTCTTCTATATTCTCTTTCAACTCATTGCCTTTTCTTCTATTGCTTAACCAAATCAATTGCAATGTGCAACAATTATGTTGAATTTTCTGATAATTGTCAATTGATAGCACCACGTTAAAAGCTGAAAAAGGCACATAAAAGCTCTGTTAACACTTCTATGTACGAAGTATAAGGCATATAAAAAAGCTCTGTTAACACTTAAATGACCAGCAGCTAAGCATCTTATATCATTGTTGTCTCTTATGGAGTCATAATATTATCATTGTCACTTAAATGACCATGAACCATCAAACATTTCTTGTCTATAATTGCAAAAGTAAACACAAATTCAATTACACTTGAATGGACTGCAATTGTGATGCAATTTGTTCTACTTAGAGGTTACGTTTTCATCTTCTAAATTGATAATTGATGAATGATGATACATGAGCATCAAATCTAATCTAAATAGTTAACATAACACTACATTTTCCTTGAGCAAAGTTGAGGAGAATTGCAAGTGAAAATTTGAGCACTGCTAGCAAGGAAAAACCACCCCATCATCGACTGATCCCAAGCAGTGCCACGGCCGCCGCAGAGCAAAGGAAACTCACAATTTGGCCGCCAGTAAACCTTAGAGAAGACAACTAAGACGGCAACACCTCCGGGGGTTTGGAAAGCTTGAGCGATGCTAGCAGATTGCAAGAAAAATACTTTTGCTTCTCCATCTTCGTTTATCCTGACGTTGCTTCTGCTTCGTTAGTTTGTTTCATACTTCGTATAATCCTACGTTCAATTGTACCGTCAAAACTAAGGTTTACGGTACGGACTGAATTGCAAATAATAGACTTTTGTCTATGTCTTTAAAGAATCCATGTGTAAGACACCTATTGGTCCAACAAGGCATAGGTACGGTACCCTCTTAAATATAAGAGGTACCGTAGAAATCACCTTTTCTAAAAGGACGTAAGTTTGATGTTTCTAAATCCAAGTTGAGGTTCCCGTGATTTTGAGGTTGCCAAATTTACCAAATAAGGTGAATTTCTATTTGTCAAATTTACCAAATAAGGTGGATTTCTATATCAACATGTAATAAAAATAGAATGTAATAATAAAATAAAAGGTATATAAACTAATTAAATACTCCGTAATTGTTATATATGATGACATGACAGTGTTATGTGGCGCGTTGTATGCTTTTAAAAAGTTCCTCTTATATATATATTGATTATCTTACTAGTATTGAATTTTATCCGAGACTTGTTGGTGGATTTTCCAGAAGAGCCCATAAATTTTAGGGAAAAAGTTGAGATATTACCCAAAATGGGACTAAAAAAGTTTGGAAATTCCAAAATAGGACTTCCATGTTTTTATTCCCAAAATAGGACTAATTACTGTCATGTTTTGGTAGTACCAGACTTCAAACATGGCAGTATTTTCCAAATTTGGCAGTAATCAGTCCTATTTTGGGAATAAAAACATGAGTCCTATTTTGGAATTTTCAAACTTTTTTAGTCCCATTTCGGGAACTTTCCAAAAAAAGTTTTATACTTAGACCTGTTGGTGGATTGTCGGGATGAAAGTAAACATGTATACAAAATTGGTGAAAAGAATATTTGAATCAACACATTCATTTCTAGTTGGAAAATCTCATTTTTGTGCAATTAAACATATTTTGCTTAAATTTAATTACTAACGTTCACTAATCTTAGTTATTTGTGCAATTAAACATACTTTGCTTAAAATTAATCCAATTAGTTTTGATTTTAATTATTATTAAAATAATTTATTTTTCTATAAATTTTAATTACTTTAATTATAAGTTGTGTTAAGTTTAATGTCTTAAGAGACAAATTACTTAAAGGGCATTTAAGTAATTCACCAAATATGCAATATAAGATATCATTCAACCAAACAACTTAATGTCACATTCTATCCATCTGATATACACGGTAATCTAACATTCTCATGTCAATCTGACATCCATTGAACCAAACATACCCCTAAATGTTGTGCTCAACCCTATTGGAGAGATCATTGAAGTGCAGAGGGAGTATTAAGAATGTGTATTTTTAACTTCAAAACTACAGTAAAACATAATACCAGCTTTCATCATTGATTGATCGAACATACATACAGCAGACATGTAGATCGATGTGTGGAAAGCCCATCCCATTTGGTGCATAAATTATTATTACTCTGATCTGATCGATCCACTGCGCGCGCGGCATGGGCCTTGATAACTTGTCCAATTGAATTGAAGAAGACAATCCCCGGCGCTTAGCTCCGGCCATTCAATTCGATCTTTTACATTTTATATATTACCTGTATCTATATATGTCAGTTTCCAATCTAACTTTCAACCACTTCACCAAACTATCTCCGGCCCATTCCTCTATTCAGAATCGGTCATTATTATATGGCAGATCAGATTTGCAGATGTTGCGTATATATATATGCGCGCAGCAGCTAGCTTAATACGCATTGCATCAGCACAGGAATTCGATCGAAGAGCTTAATTAATTAATCAATTAATTGTTTCTACATACATACATATATACTCCGGCCTTATTCTATATCTCAATGGGCGGAGATGATGATTATGCAGCGGTGATGAGGAACAAGCAAGTGGTTCTGAAGACGTACGTGAAAGGATTGCCGAGAGAGAGCGACATGGAGGTGAGAATGTCCAGTATCGCCTCTGAAATTCCTCAAGCTGCTGTTCTGGTGAAGAATTTGTACTTGGCATGTGACCCTTACCTCATCCACCGAATGTCCCATGACGATCACTCTGATAACATTGACTTGCTCCTTCCCTTTGAGCTGGGATCTGTAAGTAATAATAATAATAATTACATACAGAGTACCTCATTTTGCACATCAATCATATAAATAAATCACGTTTATATTAACTATTCTCTATGTCCCATTTACATGATTATGTACACAAGTATTTATAATATGAAAGCGGTAGGAAAATGTTCTTTGTCAATGCAAAAATACTATCATGAAATTATTAATCTACGAAAGTGGTATGAGAATGTTCTTTGTAAAAAAATTATTTTAAAGAATCAAATCAATATCATAACTCTTACCATAACTATACATAAATGTTTCCACTTGCAACTTTATTCAAATTTGCAGCTAAAAAATCCTACATGTGTAGAGTCACTCAACAATGATGATATGGACAAAAATAAGGTAAAGTAGTGGACTCTATGCATAGAATTCCTGCCGCCACATATTTTTTTTTGTTCACAAATTTGAATAATATATTGCAAATTGAAACATTTATGTATAGTTATTATGATACTAATTTGATTCATTTAAGAGTTGGTACCAAAAAACTGACATTTATGCATTTGACTCGCCAAATTTTATCATCTTTGACCGAAAAAGTCAAAGATCACTAAATAAAATGAAATGGAGGTTGTAATAAATCAATTAAAGTATCTGAATCTAACAGTGCATGGAGTATCTGAAATGGAGTGCATGCATTATTTGTTTGGTACAAATATTTTAATCATCTCAATATACATTCTCACGTTAGATTCATGTTCTAACTATGCTCGCTTTTGATGTGTTGCTATATATTATTGTTCTTTATTTGCTCCTTCCGGCTAAATTTCAAGTGCTTAAAATCCTCACAGATAGCCAGAAATTTGGCTAGAAAGACTTCAAATGGACAAAAACAATAGTCTTGTACCCAATACGGACAAAACTCAATATAGACATACTACTTCCGTCCCAAATTGAGTTGCAAATTTGACTTTTCTTATTCAAACAATCTCGTTTTGTTCACTTAATTAGGATGCCGATTTTTAATTATATTCTAATTTGGAGTTTACAACTTTGAAGATATTTTACTGTAGTTTTTGAATATGTAAATTTTAATTATTAAAAATTGAATTAATTATCAATAGGGAGGGTTGTCTTTTATTATTGATTGACCAAAAAATGTTGACTTTGCAAAACAAATTGAGACGGAGGGAGTATGATTGTTTTGAGTCAAAATTAATCTAGATCAAACCAAACTTAAACAAATCAACCATCTACAATTGTAAACTACACACATAACAGACATCTATCAGACTATTTCAGATCATATCAGATATAAATAGTATGGATTCGTATAATCCTCGAAGGGTAAGAAATGAAATTTCATTTTAACTTTTACCTCCCGATCTCTAAAAAAGAAGTTTGCACTTTTCTTTTTTGCATGTCCCAAAATGAAATTCCCATTTTTATAAAAAGATTTTTTATTTGAAAATGTCTCAACTAACATTATTTTTAACCACTCTTAGCTTGACTTGACGAAAATGAGGGTAACTTTAGAATGTCCATCCAAAACTTTAGCTTACATAAACATGTGAGTATGTCAAAGTGTGAACTTCTTTGTTGGATAGAAGGAGTATTAGAATGTATTTTTCTAAATTGAGGTGATATTAAGCTAATTTTAGCATTTTTTTTATTTGAACTGTTTAAATGTCAAATTAAATCAGACCATATCAAAGCAGACTTAGACAATAATAAAACAAACATAAAACAGACTATTCGCATACCACACCAGATTTAAACACGTCGTATTGAGTGAGACTGGGCCCGACTAGAAAATTTCATTCAATTAAAAGTAATCTTTAATTTTGGTCCAACTAAAAGTATCTTAAATTTTTGTTGCTTAGTCTATTGTGTATTTTAATTTTTAATCTTAATACATGATTAAGATCCATCTACATCTAAAAGAAATCTTAGAGGTGCATAGATCTTCCTCAATAAATCTTAGAGGTCCCATTTTAAGTGTCGTACTTTGATTTGACATAATTATTAATAAATTGGTTAGAAAAAAGTTGTGATTGAGATTTGAGCGTAATAAAATGAAATGTTGTAGACCATATATTATTTTTCATCAAAGAAATGTGACACATATTTTGGAACAATTCAAAAAGCAAAACAGGATAGGTAAAACGGGAAAGAGGAAGTATCATATAATCTATCTATGTACCTAATACATAAAGTAAAATTGAATAATACATTTCTTAATCAGAATTGATTAATGAGTTATTCATTTAAACTCAGGTAATCGAGGGATTTGGCGTATGCAAAGTCCTTAAATCAAGCGACCCAGCTTTCAAGGCGGGAGACCATGTTTGGGGCGTTACTGGTTGGGAAGAATACAGCTTGATTAAAAATCCTAGCATTTTGTTCAAGATCCAACCAAATGTACATGATGATGGTGATGTGCCATTATCCTACTATACTGGCATTTTAGGTACACTACATATTTATCTTCTTTTTTTTATCCCAGGGGACGTTAGGGAGAGAGGGATTTGGGGGGTCTGGGATAAACTGAGATCAATCTCACTCCATTGAGAATTGAACACGGACCTCCCGTAAGGGAGAGTGAGTCGGCGACCAGCTGGGCTGGACCACTTCCTCACACTACAAATTTATCAAATCAATAGATCAAACTCTAATTTGTTACAAAGTGTTAAAAGTATATATATATATATATATATATATATATATATATATATATATATATATATATATATATATATATAGATTTAGGATCACATACAAACTAATCCTAATTTAAAGTGCGAATTAATCTTGGCCATCCATATGAATGAAATAATGGTGTGATGATAAAACTCACCCACTATTAATGAAATAACCGCATGTCCACATTTAGTGGAGAGAAACTTAAAACTGCCGCACTAATATGGCTTGATTTAGTTGTTCTCACCCTTGATTTTATAATGTTGGACGGTTGAGATGAATTTGCATGTTGCACACTTTGTACCCGATCTTAACCTTATATATATACACACACACACACACATATATATATATATATATATATATGAACCAATGAGTGGGCGTGATCAAGTTTTGGGGTTTAATGCACCAAACCCCCTCGTGAAATAAAAATTCGGCGCATTAGCCCCCTCTGATTTAAAAAATGCGTCAAATTGCCCTGTGTTATGATTAATCATGCGCGATACCCCCTCTAAGAACAAATTTAATTTCCAAAAAATGAAAAAATGGTTAGTTTTATTCTATAATTTAGAAATTTTGACAAAGTTGATTGCATATTCAACCATATTATTAAAAAATGATTTAAAAATTTTTAAAATTTGTTCTTGGAGGGGGGTTTGGGCATGATTAATCATAACACAAGGGGATTTGAAACATTTTTTAAATCACAGGAGTCTAATGCGCCGAATTTCTATTTCATGAGGGGGTTTGGTGCATTGAACCCTCAAGTTTTGAGTTGCAAATGAGGCAGCGCTATTGTAAACATGTAAACCTTAATGATATACCGCGACAAAAAATGCATTAATATACAAAGACTGCATGTATATAGATAATAATAAATAAAAAAAGCACAAGAATATGAAGTAAAAGTACACACTATAAACAAATGCGATAATCATTTTAACACAGTTTTTAACATTTTAACATTTAGTGAAACTGAAATGTGCATTAGGTGAAATTGAAATATACGGAGTAAAAGGTAAAAATCAAATGTGAATTAGTTGAAATTGAAATGTGCAAAATAAAAGGTACAAAAATGTCACCGCATCGTAATTTTTATTCTGCACGTTTTAGTTCACCTAATGTACAATTCAGTTTCACATAATGTTAGTCTCCTACTCTTTGTGGCGCACATTTCAAATTCACCTATTGCACACTTCGGTTTCATCTAATGTATATTCAATTTCACATAATACAATTTAACGGTCTAGATTCAAACTCACTTCTCTTCTAAGATCATTTTCTCATTTGGGTCAAATAAAAAGTCTTCTTCTCATGAAAAGTAGGAATAAACCTGATGCATCGAGTCTAAAATCTAATGGCTCTAAATATGTCAAAAATGCATTATAATGGATTAAAACGCAGTGACATTTTTGTAAACACTGTGCGCAAAAGTGTACCGCACGTGGATGACGAAAATCATCTAAGTACAATAGTGCACTTCAGATGACTAAAAATGGATACGTTCGCATTTCTTATGTGAAGACCACTTTTTATTGCAACCGGAACATGTATGTATATATTCACATAAAAGATTACCTCAGGTAATTCAGACGGGAGCCACCATTAGAATTTTGAGGTGCTACCGAGTACCGAGTGAAATATTTTGATGAAATTTTGTGAGTTGTTCTTCATGATGTGTAGATTATGTCAATAAAAGTTTCAACCTAAAATTCAATCGGAAAGTAGTTTTAAAATAAATTTTTAAAAAACATTGCATTTTGTATATACATTATGGCGCATAGTTTTGAAAATTTTATTTAACTTGCTTTTCGATTGAATTTTAAGCTAAAATTTTGTGGACACGATATGCAATTTATGAAGAACATGCTCACAAAATTTTATGAAAAAATCTAGTTGGAAGCCCCTCAAATAAACATGTCCGGACGACGCTAGCTTTTCGTCAGAACTACCTCAGGTGTTTGTTAGTTGTTACTATATGTGTGTATCAAAATATGTGTAGTATGTATAAATAAATTTCAAGTAAAAAAGTGTTTAATGTGATCGAGAAATGACAATTGTACTTTTATTTCACTGAGAAATGACAATTGTACATTCATTTCACTATGCTACGTCGTCTACAGGTATATATACTTCAAAAAATCTATTCGTACACATTTTTCATACACACACCTAAACACTCATGTTTGTGAAGAGTATTTTTTTGTCTGTATACAGACATAACATATTTTCAAATACGTTATCTTTGTATACAGACAAAAAAATACTCTTCACAAACATGAGTGTGTAGGTGTGTGTATGAAAAATGTGTACCTCAACTACTACAATTTTCATGTTATAAGAACTACTACAATTTTCATGTTATAAGAACTTCGTGTAAAAAGAGAAAATTCCTTATGTAGGACTAAAACATAAACAAAATGCACATATAGGATTCTTATTGTTTACTTCTTAATTAAATTATGACTTGTTTACTCCTAATAAGAAAAGTTCTATACTTTCAATAGGATTGAGTAAATATAATCCTACTCATATTTCAGTACATATAGTCCTATTTGTGTATTTTGTCTAAGTTCGAGTGTATTTAGAGCAATTTATATTTTTAGAATTTCTCCGTGATTCTTAAATTAATACGAGTAGTTTTTTTCATAGTAAAAAGTCTAATAGTTCAATTTAAAATTCAAAGCCAAGTAAAGGTACAATTAACTTATTTTCGAACATAATATTCTGCATATGCTCGAAGTATAAATAAACCGGCTGAATTATTGATCGTAGGGATGGTTGGACTTACAGCTTATGTTGGGATGTTCAACGTATGCCGCCCTAAAGAAGGGGAAGTTGTGTACGTTTCCACCGCCGCCGGAGGGACGGGTATAATCGCCGGACAATTCGCAAAAATGTTGGGTGCTCATGTGGTCGGAAGTACTAGTACTGACGAAAAGGTCGACATTCTAATCAACAAACTGGGGTTTGACAATGCTTTCAATTACAAACAAGAGACTGATTTGGGTGCCCCTTTAAAACGGTTGGTAAACTTTAAAATTCTAAAATCCTATTTCGTGTCTTTATTTTCTAAATTTGAGTAATTATTATTGTTTGTGAAAAACTTTCATATTTAAAGTCTGATATTATCAATTCTAAATTAAAAGTCCGATATTATCAAAACAAGAGAATAACGACCCATATTTAAATAATCAAAACATAACAATTCTATTTTGATATTCATAAACGTGTTTGCTTTTATTTAGGCCAATTTTTAAAACATTGTATTGACCCATCTTGTCCGCCTAATATTTAAATATGCACTACTTTTTTAAATTGTTTTAGACATATACACACATGTATAATAATAATATATCCGTTCTCTTTTAATTGTAACATCGGATTTTTTGCACTATTCACATATTCTACTTTGACTATATTTTATTTATTAATGTATTATAAAATAATTTTTTTAAAAATATTTTTAAATTCTTCTCACTTTAAATGTTCTAATCTGAATTTTTTAATTTTTTATTAATAAGGAATGAAAGATATTAATGGTCAAACTTGTGCATTGGCAAACGTAAAAAGTGGACTGTTGCAATTATAAAAGAACGGAGGTTGTATATTTTAAATTCATTAATCTTATAATATATTAATATTTATATGTGAATTACATGAACACTTAATTGTCAATGTCTGTTTTATACTTCATATTTTATATATTCATTTATTATTATTATAAATAGATTAGCTATTCAAGTGGAGGTCTTTCTTAGTTTTCAATAACTTTCATTGTATTCCTTTATTGTGACTTTGGCTTTTGATGTTTAATGTTTATAATTATTTGGAGATAACTTTACGTAAGTTTGAGTTATAATAATGAATTCAAGCATAAAGAAGCATATGAGTTAATGAGGATATAGCAAGGCAGGATGTGGCGACACATCTGCATGGGCCAGGTCATATGTTTAATAAAATGTTATTTTGCGCCTTGCTCCACAATTTGCAAGTGAACCACAACCAACCATTGACTATGAATTGATGAATATAAGAAAAATAAGGAGTATAATTATTTCAAATGACTATACATATCCACAATATGATCAGTTTGTTTGCATTACCAAGCATGAATACACGCACATGCATATGTGTGTTTTCTTTAGAAATTATCACAAATATGGATTTATAAAAGAGTAAAATGCATAAATGGTCCTCAAATTATTATCACCATATCGTTTTGGTCCTTCACCTAATAAATCTATCACTTTAGTCCCTATTCTATTTAATGCATCTTAATTTGGCCCTTCTGTTAGTTTTGACTGTTTACATTCACATGGTCAACATACACTATTTTATAAGACCCATCTTTAGCTAAATAATTTCCTTTTTACCAAAAAAACTGAATAATTGCCTCGTTGATAAATATTAACCTTAATCAAACATATTTTTAAATACTAATATGTTTTCCTTACTCAACAACCAATTACTCAAATATATTACGTAGTATTAAATACTACTCCATATGTATTAAAATGTTTTTGTTAAGAATACTCAGCTGGATAATAATTATAATAATTGTTATGTTATTAATATTAATAATAATAATAATAGTAATAATAATATACTTCTAGAGTCATTTATAATTATAATAATTGTTATGTTATTAATATTATTAATAATATTAATAACATAACAGTTATTATAATTATTATTATTAAAATTATTACCCAGCTGAGTATTCTTAACAAAAACGTTCTAATACATATGGAGTAGTATTTAATACTACGTAATATATATATTTGAGTAATTGATTGTTGAGTAAGGGCAACATATTAATATTTAAAATTATGTTTGATTAAGGTTAATATTTATCAACAAGGGAATTATTCAGTTTTTTTGGCAAAAAGGAAATTATTTAGTTAAAGATGGGTCTTATAACAATTTATAAAATAGTGTATGTTTGACCACGTGAATGGAAACAGTCAAAACTAACAGAAGGACCAAATTAAGATGCATTAAATAGAATAGGGACTAAAGTGATAGATTTATTAGTTGAAGGACCAAAACGATATGGTGATGATAGTTTAAGGACCATTTATGTATTTTACTCTTTATAAAATGATGAACATGAATATTGATTATTAAAAGATCAGAACAAAATAACATCGTAACTATCTGAAATTATCCTCCATGTGAACCTTTCAATAAATGAGATTAGTGTTTTGATAATTTTAATGTTATAAATGTATTATTGCTAATATTTAATGCTTAAATTGTCATTTTAGAATGTTAATTGTTCCCTAAAATAGGAAAGGAGGGAGTATTTAGGTAAAGAAAATCAAGAGTGCCAACATTTATGGAGAACTCGTGCTAATAATGTCTTGTAGAGATAACTGTGTGTGGTTTCATTACCAAATGCCATATAAATAAGGAGAGATTAGGGTTTACAAAGATGGACCAATAGGCCCTTGATACATAGCTTACACAGGATGACCCTAATACAAATTCTATACACACACGATAACACACTACATAAAATTTCATTCAACAAAAATACTTTTCTTTTATTATACACATGTTAAATTTCATTAAATCTTTATTATTCACAAGTCGTATACTACTAGTACTATAGTGTATGTGTATATAGTGAGCCCCGATGTCTAGTTCCGCCACTCATCATATCCGTCATTAAATTGCATGTTTGCATGTAATGTTGGTATGTTTTCTGCGCGTTTGTAACGGGATGCATGTACGCTGCAGGTGCTGCCCCAAGGGCATCGACGTATACTTCGATAACGTCGGTGGTCCGATGTTGGATGAGGTGATCCGGCACATGAATCCTCATGGTACAATCGGCATATGTGGAATGATATCTCAGTACTCTCTGAAAGAGCCTGATGGTATTCGCAACTTGTTTCAGATCATTACAAAAAGCTTGAGGGTGGAAGGGTTTAGAGAAATTGATAATTGGCATGTTGTCCCAAAGTACACAGAATGGGTGATTCAACAATTGAGGGAGAAAAAATTGGTATACATTGAAGACATTTCTATGGGGTTGGATAGTGCACCATCTGCTCTAGTTAGTATCTTTAATGGAAAGAACATTGGGAAGAAGGTTATCTCGCTTGCTGCTGAGTAAAACGTCGATTGTTTCGATAGTGACAGATGGTTGTGATTCCAATGATTTATTTATTTTGGAATATGTGTTCAACTTATAACGTACTATGTTTTCCACCAGACGTAATAATGCTTTTCCTATTTTTAATTTACTGTCATGCTCGGTAGTAAGAAATAAGATAAATAACTTCTCTAAGTTTTATTATCCTTTGCACAATCAATTTGAAGTTCTGTCTTTGTATTAAGCAATTTGAAGTTCTGTATATCGAATCCATATACTGGTAGTATTATTAAGTGACTTGACATGCGCAGTGAAACATAATTCTTGAACAACTGCTCACCCAGTGCCGGTCTAGTGTTATTCAAATGGTATAGGCGAATTTTTTTCATGAACCAAAATTTGTACACCGTTGTTCTTTAATGAAATTATTAGTAGAATAAAATCATCTATAGAATCGTAATAAAGGAAAAATTACTTTTTAATGAGATTGTAAAAGAGTAATAGAATTATCTACTAAAAGTAAACAACACTGAAAACACTTCATGTAAAGCATTTTGTAGAATAGTCCCATTATATAAAACCTTCGAAATTAAATGACTAAAATTTAGAAATTATGAAGTGAATATCAAATCAGGTTTTTTCTTGAATATGATTGAAATATTTATATTATGGGAAAAAATAAGACTATATTTACTATGCATAGTCAATATGGTGTACAATTAAGCGCAAATGCAATTACTAAAGTTACTATGATAGTCACTAAAACATAAAAAGTGACATATTTGTTCACTATCTTTACTCTAGCTATATACTTCTTCTTATTTGTCATTAGTTATTTCATACTATGTGTGTTGTACGGAGTATAACATTACATATATAAGAAAAATAACGTAACAAATCATAACAATGCCCACACATAACCGCACACACATAAGAAAATAGATAAATCACACATAAAATGATACAACAAATCTTAAGTAAATATAAATCAAACACACATCAAATGCAAATATAAAATTGTACAAAAAATAAAATGAAAAACTAATACCTACTTAAATAAGAAATTAAATAAGAAATATAAGAAATATATTAAATAATCCTTTCATACCTTTCATGTGATATTTTTTCTTAATGCACTGAAAGGTATATTATTTCTGATATTTAAATAAGAAATATAAATCATATGAAACATCATAAAAGTTAAAGTAAGAGTTTCTTTAGGGTATGAAAGGAATAATAGTTTTCACAACGTAAGAAAGAGATTTTTTTTTCAAACTTTTATTTTATCTTATTCGTTTTGAAACTTGAAAATTACCCCGTGTCATGGGGTACACATAGACACTACAACAAAAAGTATCATTTGCGTCCATGTTTTTTGCGTCGACTGGAATGGACGCTAATAAGACACTATTTGTGTCGACTTGTGGATGCAAAAAAAATATTAAAATTTCATTTTAAAATAACTCATAATTCGATTAGTTGCGTCGACTAGAAAGACTATAGCTAGGGCTGGAACTAATCAAGTGACCGATGCGGCGCAGGAGAGAAAGGCAAGGACTGGGTTCGATGGAGCCCTAGGGTTTTGAGAGTGCTTAGGATGAACTCGCCTGTTCTTCCATGAAAGTTGTTAGGAAGGTGATTAGCAAGACGTATACGCTCCAAGTCACTAGTTTGAGTAAAATCAGTACACGAGGAGGCAGGGGCCATACCCCGTAAGAGGTTCGACATTTTCGTTTCCCTTTGCAATGTTTTAGATCCAGTACTAGGAAATCTGAAAAGAACTAAGAGCAACAATTATGAATACAACTGGCAAAATTGATCCAGGTATCAAATGGTTCTACAAACTTTTCTCAATTTTATCTATTCAATCATTTCGTTCTATGAAGGTGTAGAATTGCCATGACCAAAGTATCGGTATTTGCAGCAAATGTGGTCAAGGATCGATGGAAACAGCCGGACGACTCTGGATAGCTGCACTGCTGCAGGGATATCGAGCTTAAGGTTGCAACTATCGTTTTTGCGGTAATATCCAAAATTAGATATTTTTATGGCTTTTTTAGGAGTTGGAACTATTTCTTAATCACTCGAATTCCAATTGTATTTAATCTATTTCCTAATCAAATTCAAATTGTAATTCACTTGAATTTGAAGATATATACATATTTTTTATTAATTAATTTTCAAGAGTAGGTACTCACTAATATGAATCAATAAATTGGATTATTTGTAAAATTTCAATCTAGACTTTTAGTTTTCGTTTGTTATGTTTTTACACGTATCTTAATTTTTGACAAAGGATTGTATTCATTGTAATTTTCTTCTATATGTTCATGTTTATCTATAAGGACGGTAAAATTTATATCTGAAATATGAGAAGCTTATGGACTTGGATTGTGATTGTCCTATTGGGTTAGTGCACCCTTCCCTATTTGAGTTTTGATGATTACATTATGCAATCTAGATCTAAGCCCTATTGGGGAAGTGATATTTAACTAAAGTGGCTTTGAATAAATGTTCTGTTAAAAAGCATCTGGCAATAGCCATTCCAGCAATAAGCAAGCTAAGCGCTACTTATTTTGTTGAAATAAAGATTAAGAAATATAAGGCACATTTGGATATTGCGGTTTATATCACTAATTTAACTATTTTGCTTTTATCCTATGCAGTATAGTTTAGGAAGCATAATGGTGCCTAATTACTTGCTCACAATGTTGCTTATGATAATGGTAGCACTGCATTTTTCTTGGTATTAGTTTATGACCAAAACTAGCTTAGTGTACAAGAAACTAAATTAAATTTATAGTGTACATTGATCTCATGGTCTTGTAATAATTAGCACTTGCATGTTTATTACAGGTATAATTGAGAAGAAAGAATAAGTATGCGTTGCTTATAAACTTTGGACGCATTAGTCAGGACATATATTACAGGTGTCATGATTTGCATTTATGAAAAAAGAAATCCTAAATGGCATGATTATTCAATGATCAAAATTGCTTAAGTATTATATACGGATACTCATCCCAACCTTTTAAATTTTGCATTATTATTATTCATTATTCATTATTAATGTGGTTATAGGATATAACCATCTGATTTGGAATATATGCCGTAATATCAATGTGTCATGAGGGAGATCTCAAGACTGCTCAGGTGCAAGAAATTCTTATTTTGGTAGGTTACCTAAGTGTCATTTGGCTTTATTAATCATACTGTATCAGATCAATAAAAAATTCCTAGTCTGATATCTTCTTTTTTAAGCAATGGTGGAGTAAAACTACTGTTTTCATTTCAGGTCATAGTTAATATCAAGCCTGTAAATGCTGTTTGGAAGCAGGAACCAATCAAATTACTGTGCTTTGTGTTAACATTAACTTAGATGGTGAGTTTATTTTGTTGTTTACACTTACAAATTTGTAATAAGTTATTAACAATTGGTACTTTCTTAGAAATGCATTTTAAAGGGGTGTATAACGTAGTCCGTTGTGAACTTTTTGTAGCTAGTTTGTACTGTTCACTAGAAAGTTAAAGTGGTGTCAGCGGCAAAACAGGAGGATATAATAGAGGTATAAGTGTATTCCTCCCTGAATAATATTGGGACTGTTTTAGCTGTTTAATATGTGTGTGTATTTTTAATTTTAAATCAATAATTGGATATTCTCAATGAGTTACACTAAACTATTGAAAAGGGAGAGAGATGGAAAGAGAACCTTGTTGCCCCTTGCTGCTCTAAACAGGGTTTGAAGAAAGGCTAAGGAAGAGTTGTAGTTGGGTATTTATATACTCTGTATCCATATAGAGTTTCATGGCAGAGTAGTATGTTCTGTTTTACATAGGATGCTTTATTTCTTGGGTGCCTATAATATTTCATTGAATGTATAAAAAACTTTATGCTTTTTGTGATATTATTGCCAAGAAAAGCTTATTCCTTAGTGCCAACAAATTAATTGCTTAATGAATCCCCCTAACCACACTTGGGTTCATTATTTGAGCTATGTAGGTGGTATCTTTAATTTGGAATGAAGTAATATTAATTAATTCATACCCAAAGGTTCTCTCATTCTGGTTAATGTGGTGTGGACAGAGAAGGGGATTTAATAATTATTTAGTCTACTTCTCTTTAATATATCTCAAAACTTTCTTTTGTATATGCAAAATGATTGGTTTTGAAGTTTATCTTTGTTTCAGGCTGCCTAGGATATTGATTATCACCATAATATTCTGGCATCCCATCTGAAGGTGAATCTGAAAGAAGTCTTGTTGGTTGGTGATATTTTATTTGTTTTTTCCATTTGCTAGATATTTTCATGTATGGCATTGGCATACTAATATAATGTCTTACTTTTCAGATTGATTTATGTCTCTTTCTTGATGCTCTTCAATTTTTGTCTCCGTTATGCCACATTGCTAATTTTTTGAGAATTAACAGCTGATAATTTTGATGTCTTCCTTCTTGGATTGATAGGTTTTCCACTATATTTTGGAGTTTCCGGTGGAAGCGCTCAAATCCATGGATTTTTATCCGAAAGAAGTTTCAAATCCCGTCAGTTGGTTGTATTTTTTTAATTATAGAAGTTTTACCTTTTAATTAGTATAGTGTAGTATGTTATTCACGCTTAGCTACTTCAACACATTGTAGTACGCTTTTCCAAAAATATTTCATAGATAATGAATGTTCTCTATTTGACAGTATATCTTAGTGATTTGATCACTAAATTTATGGATATTATATGTTTTAGGATCTTGTGTTGCCAGTAAAGTGTAATTTCAATATATTGTATTTTATTTTTGTTGTAAATTCCTGAGAATGACAAGTGTGAATTGTTCATTGATGTGAGTTTTCTCGCACTTAAAATAGTTGTAGAAAAGTGGTTGAAAGTACGAGTATCGTCTCCACAGGGACGGACAAAAGGGAATTAAGAATTAACTAAATTCAGCGATTAAAAAGAAAATAAAATAAAAGCGTCGTGCGAGAATTGATTGGTTTGAAAAATAAAACTAATGCGAACAATTAAACTAGGGGGTTCTTTCTAATTAATGACGAAGAGAACAGGGATCGATTCCGGGGTAACCAGATTTCTGGCAGATCAGGCCTAATTACATGAAATTAATTTAATTGAGCCTAGCTAATCATTACTAAGTTCTTACCGCTCTCGCGGCGTAGAGTACAATAATTTAGGGGTCCAGGCTGATCTCTCATGCGACAAGATCCTAAATTATTGCCAAAACGAGCGAGCTTACGGCCCCTTAATCGCTACTAATCTCTTAGCGAACGATTATGTGTGTGTGAATGTGTCCTAGAACAAATTAGATCTCTCTTAATTCAT